TGCCGGGGATGCAGCGGCCAGCACTGTACATGAGCTGCTACCTTGGGCTGCAGCTCGCTGGATACTGCTGCGTGAAAGGCGCTGCTACCCTGGGCTGCAGTGCCATGCAATTAAATAACCCAGCATGACTTATCCCACACGGCACTTGAGCGAGAGATGGACATGCTTGGTTCGCGCATGAAATCCGTCCTCAGTCCTGAATGGATGAAAAATCATCTCCTCGAAATCCCATGGCACATCTCCCCACTGTCGCCACAGTGCAGTTACCTACTCGAGAGACCTCGCCGAAGCACGGCGGCCAGGAGAGCAGCCGAGCGGGCTACCGGAAGCCTTCCTCGGGAAGAAGCGCTGGAGCGAGATGGCCAAGAGCGCAGCGCGTGTGCGCCGACCTAGATATAGCTCCTGAGATGTGCCAACAGGCACTGCATGTGCGGGGTAAACGGCAGGGCCGCCGCCAAAAAGACGAATTCAAGGGCGTCGCGCCCTCAACTGCAGGAGTAGCTGGCAAGCACTACCGCGCAGCGTCTTTCGAGACGCGCCAGGCCCAATCTCGGAAGCAAAACCGCCCCGAGAGGAAGAAGGAGGAGAGGCCGAGAGCGAAGGACGGGAGGGCACGAGCATGACCGCCATCCCACCACCATGCCGCCGGCGAGGACGCTGGCGAGGCGGCTGGCGACGCGGCCATCCTCGCTGCGCGAGGGCTGGGAGCAGATACTGGTAGCGCGCACAGGTGGCCTCCTCCTCCTCCTCCTCCTCCTCCTCTTGATGCGTGTCCTTTCTCCATCCAGACAGGCAACGTGCACGGGCAAGGCACGCAAAATTCGGTCGCGATGCCCCTCTACAAGCCGCCGACAGCACCCTAAGCGACCATGCCGATTGCGGAGCAAATCGAGAAGGTCAGAACCTACTGGTTGAGGCGCACACTGGCAAAAATTGGCGCACGTGCCCTCGTTATGGCATGCGGGTTGGTCCGCGCCTCTACAGCATCAGACTCGCGCGAAGAAAAAATCCGGACCTCCGGTTTCGTGATGTTTGACGATACGTGGGCCCTCTAGCTCCCGACCCCTTCTCCAGGGCCGGCTCAACGTCGGTGGCCGTGCCTCGATGGCAAGAGGCCTCCAGAAGTCGCGTGTCCCCCCCAATGCCGAAGTCCTCCTCCCCTCCTCGAAATCCCATGGCACATCTCCCCACTGTCGCCACAGTGCAGTTACCTACTCGAGAGACGCTCGCTGAAGCACGGCGGCCAGGAGAGCAGCCGAGCGGGCTACTGGAAGCCTTCCTCGGGAAGCGCTGGAGCGAGATGGCCAAGAGCGCAGCGCGTGTGCGCCGACCTAGATATAGCTCCTGAGATGTGCCAACAGGCACTGCATGCGCGGGGTAAACGGCAGGGCCGCCGCCAAAAAGACGAATTCAAGGGCGTCGCGCCCTCAACTGCAGGAGTAGCTGGCAAGCACTACCGCGCAGCGTCTTTCGAGACGCGCCAGGCCCAATCTCGGAAGCAAAACCGCCCCGAGAGGAAGAAGGAGGAGAGGCCGAGAGCGAAGGACGGGAGGGCACGAGCACGACCGCCATCCCACCACCATGCCGCCGGCGAGGACGCTGGCGAGGCGGCTGGCGACGCGGCCATCCTCGCTCCGCGAGGGCTGGGAGCAGATACTGGTAGCGCGCACAGGTGGCCTCCACCTCCTCCTCTTCCACCACATCCTCCTCTTGATGCGTGTCAACGGCATCATCCCGGTATCATACACTGTCTGTATAACTCGCACCTTTCGGAAATCATGTCGTGTGCGACCATGTATCTTCATTCCCAACCCACCCCATGCTCTTTCTGCCATGCATGCACGCAGTCGGGCCAGGCCCGGCGATGCATTGTGAAGCGAACGCGGGCAGAAGGGAGGGGGGAATTCCATAATCGAAAGGACCCTGGGGGCGGTGAAAACGCACGCATCGGGAGACGGAAACGCCGAGGCCAACGCCTCTGCACGTTCCGCCGCCTTCGCAGCGTGATCAAACACATGGATTGGATTCGTATCAGCATACTTTTCAACAGCGGATCATGTACGACACGCAAGGTTAAATTCAACCATGGCATGGTCATAACGCCTCCCGGGGACGTGGGCGCTGGCAAACGCCCAGAAGAGAACTATATGAAAAGAATACCTTGCACAGGTTGCGTTTCCCTGGCGATACCGTCATCGCCCACACTCTGGCACAATGGCGACGCGGCTGCTTGCCAACGAGAAGGGATGTAAAGAAAGCATGGGAGAGAAGAGAAGGATGATGACGCAGCCTTTCCTGCGTAGATGCCAGACACAACTGTCGACCGCAATTGTTCCCTTCCCCCCACGGTTGCTTCACCTTCCTTGTTCCGCCCCTACTAGTGTGTCGACAGGCTCTTCGAGCTACTCGCTCGAAGCCGCTGCGCCGACAGAAAAACGCAGTTGAAACCGAGCGACCCAGCTGCTTCTTGCTGCGTCGCAGCACAGCGACCGCCGATGCGTCGATGCCCCTGGGGGGGAAAAAAGACATGAGACATCTCACCAGCCCTCTGGGCGCACGTGGTCTAGGGCGTTTCTTTTTCCAACCTCCTTGCCCTCTTCGGGAGTTTACCTCCCCCCCTTCCTTGGTTCTGGATGTTCGTCTCAGCTGGAAAACTCGCAGAATGTATTTTTTCGAATGGGCAGTGGTTGGAATGAGCAGCCAATGGGGGCGGCAGGCTCAACGTGGGAACGGCTTCGAAGAAGAACGGCAGTCCAGCAAGGTTGAGCTTCACAATGGATTCAGCCACAACATCATACGCATGCATGTCGGTTGTGAGTCTTGGTATAGATCATCGGGGGCCTTGGCTACCCTAGGCCCTACCCAAGGCCCTAGGCTTCCCAAGGGTAGGCCCTACCCAAGGCCCTAGGCTTCCCAAGGGTAGGCCCTACCCAAGGCCCTAGGCTTCCCAAGGCCCTACCCAAGGCCCTAGGCTTCCCAAGGGTAGGCCCTACCCAAGGCCCTAGGCTTCCCAAGGGTAGGCCCTACCCAAGGCCCTAGGCTTCCCAAGGGGTAGCCCTAGGGTAGCCCTAGGGGTGGGCCCCAGGGGTAGCCGGACCCCTTTGTAGCGGGAATCCGAGCCGGCAGCATCCCTCCTCCCTCCTCCCTCCGCACGCCTCCTCCCTCCTCCCTCCTCACTCCGTCCGCCCGCCTCCTCCCTCCCCCCTGCTCCCGCCGCCTCCTCCTCCTCCGCCGCCACCTCCTCCTCCTCCTCCTCCTCCTCCTCCTCCTCCTCCTCCACCTCCTCCTCCTCCCTCGCTACTCCCTCGATCCCCTGCTTCCCCCCCCCCCGCTCCCCCTTCCGAGGGCAGGGCGCCCGCGCCGCCCCCCGGCGACCGCGGCCCCGGCGCCGCAGACCCCCCCTCGCAGACCCCCCCTCTGGGACCCCCCCTCGCTGACCCCCCCTCGCAGACCCCCCCTCACAGACCCCCCCTCTGGGACCCCCCCTCGCTGACCCCCCCATCGCTGACCCCCCCTCGCAGACCCCCCCTCGCAGACCCCCCCTCTGGGACCCCCCCTCGCTGACCCCCCCTCTGGGACCCCCCTCACAGACCCCCCCTCGCTGACCCCCCCTCGCAGACCCCCCCTCGCGCTGACCCCCCCTCTGGGACCCCCCTCACAGACCCCCCTCGCTGACCCCCCCTCGCAGACCCCCCCTCGCTGACGCTGACCCCCCCTCGCAGACCCCCCTCTCTGACACCCTCCCTCGCTGACCCCCCCTCTGGGACCCCCCCTCGCTGACCCCCCTCTGGGACCCCCCCTCGCTGAACCCCCCCTCTCTGACCCCCCCTCGCATCGCTGACCCCCCTCGCTGGGACCCCCCCTCACAGAGACCCCCCCTCGCTGACCCCCCCTCGCTGACCCCCCCTCGCTGACCCCCCCTCGCTGACCCCCCCCTCGGACCCCCCGGACCCCCCCTCGCCCCCCCCTGACCCCCCCTCGCTGACCCCCCCTCACAGACCCCCCCTCACCGGTCTATCCTAGGGTTGATGCCTTTAGTCGGGCGGGCGGGCGGGACATTAAAGGCATTGATTGCTTGCTTGTGTGGTGGATTACCAATTGCTTCCCGTTGGTACCGGATTACGAGTAGATTCCATTTGTGGCGGATTACAAGCTGATTCCTTTTGTCGGGCGGGCGGGCGGGACATTAAAGGCATTGATTGCTTGTGTGGCGGATGGCAAACTGATTCTTATTGTGGCAGATTACACATTGATTCCTTTTGTCTGGCGGGCGGGCGGGACATTAAAGGCAATGATTGCTTGTTTGGTGAATTGCGAATGGATTCCCTTTGGCAGCGGATTTTCAACTTATTCCTTTGGTCGGGCGCCTTTTGCCGGGCGGGCGGGCGGGACATTGAAGGCAATAATTGCTTGTGTGGTGAATTACACATGGATTCCCTTTGGCAGCGGATTGCAAACTTATTCCTTTGGTCGGGCGGGCGGGCGGGACATTAAATGCATTGATTGCTTTCGTGGCGGATTACAAAGTGATTCCATTTGGCAGCGGATTGCAAGTTGATTACTATTATGGCGGATTACAAGCTGATTCCTTTTGTCAGGCGGGCGGGCGGGACATTAAAGGCATTGCTTGCTTGTGTGGCGGATTACACATACTGAAGGCCCTAGGCTTCCCAAGGATAGGCCCTACTGGACACCCTAGGGTAGCCCTAGGGTACCCCTAGGGGTAGGCCCCAGAGGTAGCCCTAGGGTAGCCCTAGGGGTAGGCCCTAGGGTAGCCCTACGGTAGCCCTAGGGGTAGGCCCTAGGGGTAGCCCTAGGGTAGCCCTAGGGGTAGGCCCTAGGGGTAGCCCCAGGGTAGCCCTAGGGGTAGGCCCTAGGGTAGCCTTAGGGTAGCCCTAGGGGTAGGCCCTAGGGGTAGCCCTAGGGTAGCCCTAGGGGTAGGCCTAGGGGTAGCCCTAGGGTATCCCTTCCTTGGGTGATCTATAAGGATATGATGTCGCCTCGATTCGATGGTCTACGAATTTTCCAACGTACGTGCCAGTTCTAGGGTCATTGACGCTCTGTGGCGACAGGATGAATGGAGCTATCAGGAATCAGCTAGTGGAACGACAGAATTGGTTCACCCCAGTCCGGAAGCATGCAGGAGCCCCTCAGCACTCCCGGGCTAGCTAATACTAAACTGGCGCACAAAGGTGGAAGAAACAACTGTGGGAAGGCTTTCATAATAGATATTCAATTGATTCAACGAATGCGCACGCATGGATCCTGAAGTGACCCAGAAGAAGCCTTCTGGATCAGACGTGTCCTCTCGCACCTTGACTTCAAAGGGCACAGATGACCCGCCCAATTCTGGCACGCCATTTGTGGTGCGAATTGAGATTTCACCGCACGGTACGTTATTGTCACCTGTGATTTTGCGCGCCATCAACTGAGCCTTTCCTTCATGGTCGCTTTCCATGAAAAAGAAAACGTACTCAATGCCATGGGGTCCGTAGAAATCCTTTGAATACCAAATCCCTGTCCAGAATGTGAAGTCGTTGGCAATATTCGCCTCCGCCTGGTACTCTGGAAAACTGCCAAAGAACTTTTGCGTAGCGCCTACTACCATCGTGTACTGCGAGCTCGCGCTGAGGCTCGGCATCGATGACCCGCTGGAGGACACGATTCCGACGGACTGAGAACACCGCAAGGCGTGCCAACCCCGGTACCCCAATAGCCCATGGATCGCGCACCACATGCAGAGTGCGACTATCAAGGCGTACCTGTCAAGATCCGCAATGCTCTCCGCCTCCCAATCATCTTGTTGACCAGCCCAACCAAGAAAACTCATCGACCCCATCACAGACAATATGAATACATTCAGGTGCATGATGTATTTATCCATCACCGTCATGTAATCTATCTGAGGCAACGATGTTGAAACCACAAGTTGGAAAGCGATTGCCGTCAAGAAAAGCGTCGTGGCGTGTGCAAGTCGGTCTGCCAGATCACCGCTCGGTATCAAGAACGCAAGAATGACGGCAGCAGACACTAGAGCAAGCGTGATCACGATCTTATTCACGTAACTCATCCATGACCGGCACGCCTGCAAGCGCAAAACCAAAGTCGGCTGGGATATGGTCTTGTACTTGAAGTCATGTTGTAATTCTTCGAAACTTGTGCTCCCCAACTCCAGCACTGGATTGCTGAAGACGTACTCGGGCAAGAGTTGGGGGTCCTGGGGCATCTGGACGAACCGCGGCTGGTCCGCAGCAGGGCGCAACTGGAACTTCTCGTCGGAATCTGGGAACTGGAGAATCACTGTGAACTCTTGATGGTCGAAAGGGAAACGCTGCAGCTCCATGACCTCTAGGAAAGTGCCCGATAATGCTTGCGTACATTTACCAATCAGCATGTTTCCTAGCATCCCAACTGATACTTCAGATTGCTCCACAGACATGTCCATCGAATTTCGTACGTCTACGACAGGAGGGGTCCATTCAGCCTTAAACCTCCGATGGTCCGCTTCCCAACTGCGCATCTCCTCCTCGCTCAGCATCCACTGGAAGCGCAACAAGATCTTAGCAGAAAATCTTTGGTTAACATTGTCGATGTCGTACAAGAGCTTCACCACCATGCTGAAAAACACCTGGCGGGGGCCATGCGCAGGGGACCACACTTTAAGGTTCCCTTCGTCCATGCTCTCTTCCTCCATGCTCGAACGTATTGTGGACTTGGGTGAACGATGGCTTGTCCGAATCGGCAACTTCACTCTGGTAGTTCCGTCTCAAGCCCACGTGGCTTGAGCCAAAATGGATACGGAAGGAGAGCGAACGGAATTGGGCAGCGGGAGGAGGATGAGGAATACGAGAATGAGAGGGCGGAGGAGAAGTGGAGTGTGAGTGTATAGAGGTGTGCGCCTGAGTGCGAGCGTGCATGAGCTTAAGCTTATAGGAGTGTGAGTGGTCTGTTTGTGAATGGGTATGTGTGCGTCGATGCCCATCCAGCAACGACGCCCAGGCGAATTATCTTGATCAGGGAGAGAATGGGGAGGGGAGCGAGGAGGGGGAAAGAGAATGAGGAGAAGGAGGAAAACGAGGGGGAGGAGGAGAGCGAACGGAATTGGGTAGCGGGAGGAAGATGAGGAGTACGAGAATGAGAGGGCGGAGGAGAAGAAGAGTGTGAGTGTATACGAGTGCGCGCCTGAGTGTGACTGTGTATGAACTTAAGCTTCTAGGAGTGTGAATGGTCTGTGTGTTTTTTTTTCCAGCGCAATTTTGGAGGGGAGGAGGGGGAGCGGACACATCAGCACGATGACGCACTCGGCAGCGCAAGCAACCAGTGAGAAATCTCAGACGCCGTGCAAATGCAGCGTCCTCCGATCGATGGTCTTCATAATGATCACTGTGCGGCGGCAGACTCAAAATTCAAATAAGAAGCCGCGAATAATCACGAGTCATTGAAACACTCTGCATCCCGCGGAAGGGCACAGGAGCAATACCCAAGACCACCATGCGAACGCGGAACGATACGAATTCACCCCATTTCGTATCGGTGAAACTGGGAGGAGAAGGGGAGGAAGAGCAGGAGAGCAAAATCGACCTGATAAGTGCGTGCGAGGCCATGGCAACCCCATCGGCGCGCAAGTGACTGCGGGTGCAGCGAATATTGCAATATGAGTACGGTGAAAAGAACACATGCAACATGCACAAGAGGAGCGGGACGGGCAAAGGAGGGGAACGGAGGGGGAGGGGCACGGACCTACCAGCACAAAACTTCCATGAGGCATGGAGCTTCCACATTCGGGGGGGGAGCGAGGAGGAGACCGGAAGAGGAGGCGGAGAGCCAGCCACCCCCAGCAGGGCCAGCCGGCGCACCGCCTCCAGGAGGCGAGGGCGGGACGAAAGAGAAGAGGGGGGAAGGATGCTCCAAGCGGACTCTGGATACATCGGGTGCGTCTGCGAACCCTTTAGCCGCCGACAGCTCCCCGTGCGCGATGGCTTGAAACCCTGGGAAGAGGGCGTCTAGGCCTGGCCGGTCCGAAAGCCCTGCCAGAACTCGACACGTCCAGCCAACCAGGGCGGAATGGCTCGGTGATTCCGCATGGGAGGAGGAGAGGAAGAGGAGAGGAGAAGAGGAAGAGGGAGAGAGAGGGAGGAGGAGACAGACCAGCACAACTAAAACTGCATCGATATTTAGTCCCACTATGTGGGATGGCGGATAAGGCCACGGCCGAGGGTACAACTGGACAGGCGGAAAAGTTGTACTCGCCGCGCTGTTCTCCTAAGTACTGGCGAAAATCCAACCAGAAAGCGGGAAACGTTTTCCGGCCACCTGGCCCCCTGGGCCCCGCGCGATGCAATGCAGACATGCACGTGCAACCTTTCACAAACATCAAACATGCGGTCCCTGCCACGCCGCGGCGACTATGGCAGCCAGCGCTGGGTGCGCAGCGCAGGCCTCCCGTCCATACTGCCACCAAGCGCCAGCCGCATCCGCTGTAGAATTGTGACGGGCCGCGCAGGAAGCAGCGTATGTACAATAGGCTGCCAAGGCGCGGCGAGCTAACAGAGGGGCCGTGTCCTCCGAAAACGTGGGCTCCAGAGCAATAAAACACGAAAGCCTAGCCGCCGGGGAGGGGCGGGGTAGCCGCAAGTGCCTGTATCCTAACTCCGCCACACACGGGCACTGCGCAAAGTGCTGTAGATTCTCCTCGCCGCGAGGACAGCCAAAGGGGCAAGGCGCCCATCGCCCGAATCGGCGTGCGGTCTGCCAGCTGTCACACATGGCCCTGTACAGAGATGCCCAATCCCGGGGCGGTACGGCTTGCGCAAGACCGCGCAAGGCCGCCAGCGCGCGAGGAAGGCGACGACCAGGAAGGAGGTGGAGGGGGAAGCGGCAGAGGGAGCGAGAAAGCTCACGCGTGGTGCTCACCGGGCTCGGCTGTGTCAGCAGCTGGCGGCAGCGCCGTTGCCACTGCGACCGGGGCGTCGGGGTTGTCGAAGCACCTTGGACCATGAGAGCGACGGAGAGGCCGGTCCCCACGGTACAGGCCTCGAGGCGGGACTGCGCAATCTCTAGGTTCTCGATGAAGTTGCCACTGTACCACGCACTCCATGTAGCCAACTGCTGTAAGTTGCTCGAGTTACTAATTTTGTCCAGCAGCAGGCGCCGCCGGCGCGGGATCTGCAGGCCCCCAGTGGCGTCGGCCTCCCAGCGGTGCACCCTGCACTTGGCCGCAAGGGAGGTGGCGTGTGCATGGGGCAGTTGCGAAGGGAAGCCCAACGAGCACAGGTCCCGCAAAGCGGCCGGTGAGGTCCAGCAGCGTGGCCCCGGGAACAGCAGCGCGCATGCCTTCTGTTCATGCTCAGCCCAGTCTGGCGGCAGCCGGTCCAGCTGCATGACGAAGCAGAGGACGGGGAATATGTAGACGCGGTATGCGAGGAGGGTGATAAACATGCCGCCGCCCACGGCTCGCCATGTCCTTGCCCGTGAGATATACTTCTGCAGCGGCTTCGTCCAGGACAACTGCGCGCGCTCGGGCCCCACCTCGAAACCCAAGTACGTGGCGTGCCGGCGTGCCGCGAACTCCCCCCAGGCGGGGGCAGCTGCCTGCAGGCGAGCCCGGACAACGTCTACCGGCGTTAAGGAGAGCGGCACCCAGACGCTTTTCCCCCTGTGTAGCCCCAGACCAGACAGCCGCTCATACTCGTCGAAAGCGTGTTCGAGAACGGACGCGTCCCGCGTGCTGTGGGCAAGGGCCACCGCGAGGTCGTCGGCGTAGGCGCGCTGGTTAGACTCCGGCACCAAGCGGGGCAGCCGACGAAGCAAAACGTCCGAGAGCACAGCGAAAAGGAAAGGCGAAAGAGGGCAACCCTGCCGAACCCTGGCGGCGAGCTCGAAGCCGTCGAATTTGGCGCCCTGGACAATAATCCGGCACCAATTGCGGAGGTACAAAGCCTTGACCAGGGTGACGCACCACTCCGGCCAGCCGCGGGCCACAAGCACGTCCATGAGGAACTCCTGCTGGGATGGCCGAGAGAGTTGTTGTAGCATGTAGCACATATAGTCAACGTGAGAGGTACTAATATATACGATAACATGTTGCTATTAACAACTTAACACTATACATATACATACTTAATAGCCAACTTAGTAAGTCAAATAAGTCGAGGTGTTTGTTCGGGCGTCCTGTTTTTGCCCCGGCGCCACGATGTTTGCTTGGCGTCGCCTGCTGGTCGGACCTGCGTTTTTGTTGCTCTGTGCTTGTTTTCTGTGCGCGTTTGTTTGATGAAGACGTTGCGCGTTGTTCAGGTGCCGCCTAAAAAAAAACAACTTCTCCTCCTCCCCCTCCTCCCCCCGCCCCCCCGCCGCCCCCCCTGCTCCTCGTCGTAACCCCTCTTCGGCGGATTACCCGCCTTCCCTCCTCTCTTTTGCATGCGCTGGCGGATCAACCGCTTTCTCTTTCGGCGGATCAACCGCCTTCTCTTTCATTCCCCCCCTCTTCTCGGCGGGTCAAACGCCTCGTTCTGCGGATCAGCCGCGCCCCCCTTTCTTTGCGGATAAACCGCGCGCCCCCCCTCTCTCGATTCTGCGGATAAGCCGCATTCTTTTCTCCCTCGGCGGATCACTCGCCTCCTTCCTCTTCTCCGCCCCGCGCGCCCGCAGCCTTTTTATTGCAGCCTTGTCGGCCCGAGCTGCCGCGGGGCCGCGGCGCGTCTTGCTGCTGCGCTGCCTGCCCGACAATGGCGCTCCAGCAGGAGCTCCTTCAGCGCGCCGAGGCGACGGGCCCCTCACTGCGCGCTGCCAAGGGCCAGGGAGAGGCCGCGTGGAGGCAGGCGTCGAGTACACAGGCTGCTCGGCTGGTCGAGCTCGTCGGACTGGTGCGCCCGCAGGGCCACTTGCTCATTCGCCTCGCGGGTTTGGCGCAGCAAGAACAGCTTCGCGCCTGCCGACGCCTAGCTGTTGCAGAACGCCTTGGCCACGGCATCCACAACCAGCGGCGGGACGTGGAAGTCGCAAAGTTTCGAGCGTTTCCCGTACCTCTTGAGTGGTGAAGTGTGGGCCGTGCTCAACGACCCCAGCGGGGACGCTTGCACAAGGCTCGCACCGTTCTGTCGTTTCTCTCGACGAAGCTGGGCCTCACGAGCCCGTCAGAAGGCACCTACGCGCATTTGACGGCCCTCGTGACGATCTGCGTAGAGGGTGCCCCGACGGCCCGCAGCATGAGCCCCCACTTCTTGAAATACACTTTTGACCACATCAAGACGGTGTGGAAAGGCTTGGTCAAGGCAGAGCCCTTGGAGAAGATGGTCTCGCTCCCCGCTGACCCCAACGCGTTCCGAGCTGCGTTCCCCGCCACGTGGGTCGCTGCGTGCGGCGACGGTGGCCCTGCAAGCATCGGGGTGTCTTACGTCGATGTCTCTGTGGTGGCTAAGGCGTTCAAGTGGCGGGACAGGCAAACTGGCCCCGCCTCGTCGCCCATGTTGCAGGCTATGCAGCAGCTGATGGGGCAGACGCTGCAGCACTCTCAGCAAGAGAGGCTCGCGAACGGTTCGATGTTGACGTTCACAAAGAAGCAGCCGCGCAGCCTCGCTGGCGTGCAATCGGCGGCGACGTCGGCCGCAGGGCAGCTCGCGTTGACGGACTTCCAGCATCAGCAGCAGCAGCAGCAGCTGCAGCAACAGCAGCAGATGCAGCTGCAGCAGCAACAAGACAACCACAACCTGCAGCTGCAGGTCAAGCAGCTCCAGGAGCAGCTGCAGCAGCAGCAGCAGCCGCCGCCGCAGCCTCAGCCCCAGCTCGCCCTCGGGGACGGCCACTCGGCGGATGCCTCTGGGGGGGCTGCGACGACGAAGAAGGCGAAGAAGATTGACTCGGTGGAAGCCGCGGCAATGCACGTGCACGCTGCCTTGCAGCAGGAGAAGGAGACCAAGGCCCAGGCGAAGGGCAAGGCCCAGCCCAAGGCCAAGGCAAAGACGAAGTGCGTGAAGAAGCCAGCGGCGGCCTTTGTTGGCAAGCCTGCGGTGGAGACCAAAATCAGCGTCGAGAACACGCGCAGCCAGTGCGTCGCGCACTACGGGAGGGGCCCTGGCTCGACCAAGGCGTTCAAGTGGGGCCCGAACACAGGCTACACGAAGGAGACGGCCAAGAAGGCTGCCGAGCAATGGATCAATAATCGGATTTGCATCGGCAGCTGAGGGGGCGACGGCTACGCGTAGCTGTCGGCGCGAAGTGCCAGCGTGCATGTCAGTGCAGCCGTGCCGACGGGTGGCCGTCGGCATGAGCACTTTGCCATGTCGTGGGTAGTGCTACGGATGGCATCGGCTTTCAGTTTCTCTGTCTGGTGCGCGTTGCGCGTGCTCGCGATGGAGCTCGTTCTTCGGTGAACTCTTTTGGACCTCTATTCGCACCACTGCTTTGCGAGAAAAGGCGTTGGAAAAAAGCGGATCAACCGCTATCAGCGGATCACCCGCTACGTGCCATGTTGCGTCAGGTCGTCGTTCGTCGATTGCGTTTGCGTGTTGCGGCAGTGGCAGGGAGGTATGAGCAGGCATCTGGAGGGATGGCATGGTCAGAGTTCAGAGGGATGAGAACGAGGAAGGATCGGACACCTGAGATTTGTATTGGTTGAGTCCGGTGGGCGGAGATGGCGTCGGGGCTGAGTTGTGCATTTCGAGGCGGGCTGGGGGGGTAGGGGCGTTATTTTCTTTTTCGATGCCATAGCCGTTTGGGCCCAGGGTTGCGCGCTCGCGACGGGCTCGCAGGGGCGCCATGGCGGCGCCGAAGAAGTCTGCCTTCGAAGACCTCCAGAGCTTCTTCGAAGAGGCCGACGATGCGTTCGATAAGATGGACGTCGAGCGGACGCAAATGATCAGCTGCCTCAGGAAGGCGCTCGAGGCATCTGACACCGTGGAGCCTGTCCGCGGGGGCCCGTTGGAGGAGCCTGCAGTTTCGAGCTCCTCTGCGTCGGCGACTCTGGAGGTGGAGGTCGGCAGTTCGGAGGTCGGCCACACCCGGATCGACCATGCTGCTCTGGGGCGCGCTGTCGACGAAGTTCTGGGTGAAAAGGCAGGCGAAGCGGACGATCAGGTCCTTCCAGAAGGCGCGGCAGGGCGCGTCCAGCAGTTCATGAACGCGGATCCTGACTTCGCTCGGATTGCCCTGCTCATGGCAATGGACCCGCTCGCCGTGGACTGGAACGATCCCGCCGTCATCAACGTCGAGAAGGCGTTGGTCTTGGAGTTCAAGTGCCACAAGAAGTTCAAGGCACGGGGCCCTCCTGGCCCGCTCCAGGGGGGGCCCAAGGAGTGGAGGGGCCAAGCCTGGAGGGCGAAGAGCGGTCGGTGGGGCCCCCGTGGCGGCCGCAGCATGCGGTTGGCAGAGTTCCAGGCGAAGTTCGGCAAGGAGCGAGGCGCGCAAGCATTCCTCGAGGACGAGGACCGACGCCGCAGCTTGCGGCTAGAAACCTTCTTTGCGAAGTTCGGCAAGGAGCGAGGCGCCGAGGCCTTCCAGGAGGACGAGGCCGCGCGCTCGAGCAATTGCAAGGGGATCGCGCGCATGATGGCGGTCGGCCGCCCAAAGCCCCAGCAACCCATTGTGGCGTCGCCGACGTTCGTGCCTCCAGCTTACAAGGCCAGGCCGACGCCCAAGATGATGCCGCCAACCGCCCTGCCGATCGCGCGCACCGCGGACGCAGGAAAGGGCTCGGGCGAGCGGGCTGCCAAGGGCGAGAACAAGCGCGCCAGGGAGGGCAAGGGCGATGGCGAGCAAGGCAAGGGCACCTACAAGGACGCGGACAATGGCAAGGGCAAGGGCGCGGATCAGGACAAAGGCAAGGGCGCCCACAAGGACGCGGGCAACGGCAAGGGCGCCCACAAGGACGCGGCCAAGAGCAAGGGCAAGCACGGCAAGGGTTTCCTCCCCCCCACGCCCAAGCGTCCAGCGCCTCGGACGCCGTCGCCTGCTCGCAGGCCTAAGCGGCGGGCGACGAATCCACAGGGCGCCAGCGAGGGCAGGCCGTTGCCCTTTCTGTGACGCGCACTGTGGCGCTTGGAGAAAAAAGATGAGTCCTCTTCGGCGGCTCAACCGCCCTGGCGGCTCATCCGCCTGCGCGTGCACGTGTGTCAGCGCGCGCGCGCCCAACATCTCGTCGCACGTAGTTCGAACATGCAGCCGCACAACTTTTGTTCCGCATAAGCGTCTTGGCTCAAGCAGCGCTTTGCACATCGCCTGTCGCCCCCTTCCTGCCCGTCTCCACGTCGGCAGCTGCGTCGGCCACGGCCGCCGAGATTGCGGGCGCAGTGCAAGCGGACGACGATGCGAGCCCGACGTGGACTGTGCGGGGTGGCAAGTGCCCCTTCGGCTCGCAGTGCAGCAAGCGCAGCTCGACCACCAAGAACTGCAACTCGTTCGAGGAGGCCGTCGCGTCGGTGATCCATCACTTGGAAACTTCACCTTACCACGGGCTCGAGCGGCACGAGGCCGAAATGGCCGTCGATTACTCCTTGATCGAGTCCTAGGACGTCGACAAGAAGCAGTGGGCAAACGACGCCGCCAAGTGGGAGTCTGGCAAGAAGCGCAAGCCCCATCAGCAGCTGCAGTGGCATCCCACCGAAGATCGCGTGGGTCTCAGCGCACCGCCGACGGGTGCTGGCACGGGTCGGATCACGCTCTCAGAGATGCAGTTGCGGGCATGCGTCGACTCGCTGAAGCGCGCCAAGGTCTCGGCGGAGAGCGCGGCGAACCTGCGCGCCAAAGCTTCTCGTGCTTTCAACGGGGAGGTCACGTGCATCCAGCAGTGCGTCGAGGTGATCGGGTCGCACGTTCAGCCTACGCGCGTGATCAACATCAGGTAGTCGAGATGCTGCTGGTGAACCTCTGAGTTTTGGCCACGCGCGTCGGCCCCTCGCTTCGCGCGCTCGCGTCGGGCGCACTCTGCGGACGGCAATCGATCGCTGGATGCACCAGCAGACGTTCGCACCATCGTCTGTGCGCTCATCGTTCTGGATCGTTGCCAAGGGCGGTTCGCCCGCTAATCGGCGGATCATCCGCCACGAACCGATAACAACCGATAACAACCGATAACGACCGATAACGTTTCGATAACGGTGTTATCGGAGCGCCCAATAACAACCGATAACGCCGATAACACTTTGTTATCGGCAGCGCCAACAGAGCCGATAAGATCGAAATAGCGCCCGATAACGCCCGATAACACCGATAACGGTTATCGGAGCCGAAAATGGCTTCGATAACGTTGTTATCGGATGTGATCGGTGACTGCTATCGGGTGTTATCGTGCGTTAGCGTGACCTCCGATAACCGTTATCGAACTGTTATCGGATGTTATCGGATGTTATCGGTATTCCTTCGCGGTGTCAATCATCTTCCCCCCCCCCCCCCGCCATCCTCGATCTCCAACCTCAACCACCCTGAACCGCAAACCACCTCCGCCTCCTTCACGATTCCATTCGCAGCCGTTTTGCTTGGCAGCGCGCGCAGGCTTCTGCCCCCCGTGCCCAGCCCCGCCTCTCGCGGCGCATATGTCGTTGCAATTGGCGCTGATGCCGCCGCCTGCCGCGGACCCCGCTCCCAAGGCCAAGGCCAAGCCCACGGCCAAGGGCAAGGCCAAGGAAATCGTGGTGGCGACCGACGCCACGAAAGCTTGGTGGTCGAAGTACAAAGCGCCAGAGTCGGTTGCCTCTGACTCGGAGACTGTCGTTAGCTTGACGGCGACGGCGTTGGCGCTCGGGGCTCCCGCCGCGGTGGCCGACTTGGGCGACTTCGAGGGCGGGGCGCCCGATGGCGACGACGCTGCCTCGTCTGGGGCTGCTGTCTCATCCGAGGTGCCCCCCGTCGGAGGCGAAGCCCCTGCGGCCCCTGCCACAAACGCTGGTTCCGCGACGGCGGTGTCAGAAACTGGTTCCGCGACGGCGGCGCCAGGCAACGGCCCCGTGTCCAAGAACGAGCGCTTCGTCTGGCAGGCTCCAGAGGTCAGGCACCAGCCGTCAAACCCAACGTGCTACAGGTGCAAGCAAGAGGTCGATGTCCTGAGGGCACCAATGGTGGGGAAATCCAGCGGCTCGTGGAAGTGCGACAAGTGCAACGCGCGCGGGACGCAGTTGAGCCGCTTGTTTGGCTCGTGGCCGCCCGCCAGCTTTAGGAGGCTGGACCCCTCGGTGCAAGCGAAGTTCTGGCAGGACGCAAAGGAGAAGGCTGGCAAGGACCAGCTTGAGGAGCTGTTCGTCCAGACTCTCACGACGACTCGGATCGAGCAGGAGGTTGTCCAAGTGGGCGGGGAGCATCTGCCGTTGTCAGTCTACGCCACGCGTGGATTCGACGCTGACCGCATCGAGAGGGAGCGCAAAGACACCGAGGAGCACAAGATTCTCGGAACTTGCTACCGCGTGGACATCAGGGGCGGCTACTCGAAGACAATCGAGCAGCTCGCCCGCGCCGAGGTGCAGGAGTTGAAAGCGAATGCCAAGGCGTTGGCTCCACCGCCTCCGACGCAGCCGGCGCAGCACAAGAGCGACTCGCCCGATTCGGATGGCGACTCGAGCAAGAAGAAGGACAAGAAGTCCAAGAAGGACAAGAAATCTCACAAGGATAAGAAGGGCAAGAAGTCGAATAAGTCCAAGAAGGACGATAAGAAGGACAAGAAGGCTAAGAAGGACAAGAAGTCTAAGAAGCGCGCAGCGTCCTCGAACTCGAACTCGAATTCGGACTCGAATTCTGAGGATGAGAAGGCCCTGCAGGCGAAACAGAGGAAGCTCGAGCAAGAGAAGAACAAACTTGCCAATAAGAACGTGGCCCTCGCGACCCGCGTCTTGCTCAATATCGAGAAGCCCAGGATCTCTCTCGATCGAGACCTCAAGGACCCGATGTCGAAGCACGTGCCGAAGTACGGCATCGATCCAGCCAAGACTAGGCTCAAGGGGCTTGTCAAACTTAACTCTGAGTTCAAGAAGGTCCACGACGAGCGCGGCATGGGGGGTGAGGTGAAGACAACGGTGACTGAAGTGGACGCTCTTGTGAAGAGTTCGGTCGAAGCTGCCGCGCACCTTTCCAAGCTGCTGACCACTGCGAAGAACAATGTTCCGAACGGGGGTGCCATGTGAGCACATGGGCTCTGCTCGTCTGCGTCTCCAGACACCGCGGGGACAACTTGCCACGTGGTGCGCCGCCAGCTTTGGCTTCAGGATCCGCCCTGCCGACGCGGGGCTGCATGGATTCACCCAGCGTCCGATTGGCCCTTCACTTTGCCATGTCGCGGGTAGTGCAACGGATGGCATGCGAACCACCGAGCCCCGACTGTACTAGCTAGTCTTTAGGGGTTCGTAGGGGCGCCACGCGAGCTCGGGGTAACGCTCAGTTTGTAGCGCTCGGGGGTAACAACTTCAATGGACGGATGCGCTTCGGAAAAAATCATCGGGAAAAAAAAAAAAAGCGGAATAACCGCTCAGCGGATCATCCGCTAGTCATCTAGCTAGTCTTTTTAAGATGCAGCAGCGGTTCAACCGCTCAGCGGGCCTCTCTCTCACCCCCCGTACTTCCACGCCGCGCCTCTGTCTCCTGAGGAGGAGGGGGAGGAGACAGATGAGGAGGCGCAGTGGGAAGCGGCGGAGGAGGGCGAGGGGGGGGGGGGGAGGAGGAGAGGAGTTGGAGCAGGGATGTTTCAGGGGCCGCTGTGAGCAGGGATGTTCCAGGGGCCGCTGAAACATCCCTGGTCGCAGCGGCCCCAAGAACATCCCTGCTCCAACTCCTCCGCCTCCTCCCCCCCCCTCCTCCGCCCCCCCCCCCCCCCCTTCTCCCCCTTGTTCCGGAACGAGGAGGAGGAGGGGAGGGGGGGGGGTGAAGGGCCCTATCCCCACCCCCTCCCCTCGCCCCCCCTCCTCCTCTTCCTGGCGTTGCTGCTGCTGCTCCACCATCTCATCATCGCAGCCGTTTCAGCTTCGGGTGGTCGGCGCGCCGTCCCGCGCCCCACTTCCCCCCCCCTATTCGCCGCCTCCCCGCTCGCCTTTGTCGGCCATGGAGCCACTCGCGAAACGACGGAGGATCCTCGATATGCTGAGCAGGCGGAACTTTAGCGAGAGCGACGTCGTAGCGGCGCTTGCCGCGCTGGGGGGCGATGAAGCGGCGTCTCGGCGAGATGCGCGGGAGTGCGTGGATACGTTCACTGAGGACGTTCTCGTTCAGCTGGCCCTGCAAGAACGAGGCGGCGACGCCTTTGACTGGACCATTGCCAAGTATCAGCTTCTCCTCCCGACGTGCATTGCACAGTGCGCGAGCTTCAGGGAGGAGTTTGAGAACGCAGTGGCGAAGTCGCCAAATAGTTTTGACAGGCCGGGGCGCCTGGCGCTCTACATAGATGACGTAGTACCTGGCGATGCTTTGAGATTGAACAACAAGCGAAAGGCCACGTGCTGGTATATCGGCATACTTGAGATGGGGCGCTATCTGCGATGCGAAGAGGCATGGCTGCCCGTTGGCGTGCTGCGCGCCACCACTGCTAAAGATCTTCAGGGAGGCTTCCCAGCCGCGGCCAGGGCGCTCCTGCGTTCCCTCCTGTTCGGGACCGACAGCGCGTCCACGGCTGGAGTCAGCGTGTCGCGCGGTGGCCAACCAAGGATTATGCATTTTAAGTTTCAGCGTTTGATCGGGGACGAAGTTGCGACGAAAGCTTTCTTCGATGCGAAAGGTTATGGCGGCATTAAGTGTTGTTCCATATCCTGCAAGAACGCAGTGAAGCTGAACAAAGATGGCGTGACTGATTCGCTGGCCAATCATCAGACTGGCACGTACCTGGTCGATGTCTCGTGCTCTGACCCCTCGCAATTCGACCCGATGACAGACGAGGACGTCTGGCGCACGCACGACATCCTGGATGAGGTGCGCAGGCGTGGGGGCCCGTTGAAAACGCTACAGACAACGATGGGGTTCTCTTCGAATGAGCACGGCGTCCTGGGCGACAGAAATCTCCGTCCGCACGTGCTCCCGCGCCCTTGCCTTCTGTGCGATTGCATGCACGTGTACTTGGCAGGCGGCATCGTAAATATTGAACTGGGTTTGCTTTTGAATGCGATTCATGAGTGCACCCCTGGGTTTTCCTTCCGCGTGCTCAAGACGTTCGCTGAGGCAGACTGGCACTGGAGCGCTGGGGGGTTAACCAGGAGCGAGTTCGCCGAGCTATTCAACGAGTCTCGGGAGAAGGCGTGGAAATCAGGTGGTGCGTTTCGCGCGGGGGCATCTGAACTATTGTCTGCATACCCGTTCATCCGATATTTTCTCGCTGAGCACGCCCCCGTGCATAAGGTCCAGCTTGAGCGCCAGAGCTACTTTCGTCCGTGCGAAGTGATGGGCAGCATCACCGAGGCAAAGCATTATTCCACGCCGTTGGCTATGAAAGATACCATGCAGCGTGCAGTCGGCCGTTTTCTTGACGCGCACAAGGCCGCGTGCCACGTCGATGCCATCGCCCCAAAACACCATTATCAGTGGCACGTTGTGTCAGACCAGGAGGACGATATATTTCTCGATTGCTTTGTTCACGAAAGGAAGAACAATATCGTGAAGCAGTCAATGACTCACATCGCAAACACGGCAGCGTTCGAGAAGAGTTCGGTCCAGCAGCTTCTCGTCAAGGTGTTCCCATCGATGAACAAGGTCAGGATGACCGAATTGTGCGAGCCTGTGGCTGTGAGCCAGCCGCTGTCCGACAAGTGTGGCCAGCTTTGCGTCGTGTCCAAGCAGATGAGGTGGCGGGGCTTGCTGCTCAGAGTTGGCATCGTGGTTTTCGTTCAAAACGCGGCAGTTGAGATTCAAGCGTGCGCGTCCGTAGGTGGCGTTCTAGCGCTGATCGTGGGAACTCTTGCGCTGGTGCGCCGTGAGCCTCTCGGCGGGTATTCTATCTGGGCTAAAACGGGACAGACCAAGCTCCTTTTGCCCGAGGGGACGCGCAAGGCGACTGGCTGTTTCCTCAAGAGCGACACCACGCTTGCGGTGATCCATTGAGCGCGGAGAAAATCATCTGGAAAAAAAAGCTGATCAGCCGCTGCAGCGGATTACCCGCCCGTCCTCCTCATCACCATCATCATCATCATCATCAGCACCACCGTCATCATCATCACCGTCGCTCCTGCCCCCTGCTCGATGGGGGGAAAAACGCCCGCTAGCGGATGAGCCGCCACGTGCGTCGTTTTCCCGCCCCTCTTCCCCTTCTTCGCTTTCCTCCCCTCCTCTGTTCCCAACCCCTCCTATTTTCTCATTGCCGCGAGTTGTTGTTCCACGCGTGGGCCTCTCCAGTGTCTTTCGGAGGCTTGCTAACTTAATGTAGTTATGTGGCACATTTGTAACGTTGGTATATGAGATCGTATGTGAGGTATATCACCGTAGGTATCTCTTACTTGATCTACTGGATGATGTTCTGAGCATGTCAACAGCTATAAGGTAGCACAATGATAATGTGCACTTCCTCCGACATATAAGTAGGGATGCTGCTCTTATAGATATGGATGCTGCTACTTATAAGTCATATCAACTACAACATCTCCCTCGGCCATCCCAGTGGCTGACACTGGGGAAGGCGGCCTCGAAGTCGAAGAAGATGGCCGCCGCGTCATCGTAGTCCAAGGAGAAATGCAGCATGGTCTCGTCGATGTCCACGAGGTTCGCCAACATGGGGCGGCCCTGTAAGAAGCCACGCTGGGAGTCGGAGATTCCCGGGGCGACCGCCGGCTCGATCCACAGGCGCACCGCGCTGGCGATGATCCTGTTGTCCGCGTTGGTGATGTTGAGGGACCGCGCGCTGGAAGGCGCGTAAAAGTCCATGCCGCCCGGGGTGGTGCCACTAGGTTTCTTTGGTAAGAACACCATGGAGCTCTCGTTGAAGTCGTCCCAGTCCGTCTCTAGGCGGCTCAAACCGTCGGTGCTCACCATGTCCAGGAAAGCATTATACAGAGCACGGGCGGCAAACTCTCCCAGATACCGCCACGCCCGGAATGGAATGCCGTCGGAGCCTGGAGAGCTGTTCTTCGCGCGCCGGATAGCGCGTTGGAAGCATTCGAACGGCGCGACCTCGCCCGGGACGTGCTGCCTGTCCGCTGCGGGGAAGTGCGCCGTTTCGTCCGCAAGCCACCGCTGCCGCAGCGTCTGGCCCGTACCCTTGCGGCTGAAAACTCGCGACCAATGGTGCCGGAGTGCCTGGGCGATGTGGGAGGGGTCGGTGCTCACGTGGCCGGCGCTGTCGCCGACGGCGTAATTCGCGCACCCACGGCCGGGGTCCAGACGGGTGAGTAGGCGGTGGTTGCGCTGCCGACGTCGGGAAGCCTGGTCTGGCGTAAGGTTGTGCAGGTCGTTGCGCAGCTGGCTGAGCTCGTCGATGGCATGGGAGCGGGCCAAATCAATGGCATGCTGTCGGACCAGCCGCAGGCGCCGGCCCGGATTGGACGTGAAGTCGTAGGGATTGTCGACAAGGTCCTTAAGAACGGGGCATTGGAGCGTGCACTGGCTCACTCCCGTGGCGGAGCCGCGCTCCGACGAACGGAAGAATTTCATGGTCACCCCGAGCCTATCCTCATGCGTGCCAGAGTCCGCGACGGCACCGGAGTTAAAGTCCAAGCTGCGGGCAGCGCGGCGCATGGCGGCCTTCAGGAGGAGCTGCTGCCGCATCGGGGAGGCCTCGGGCTCGTCCTTCAACAAATCCTGCCAGGCCAAGCACACCAGCCGCGGCCATTCAGGGTGTTCGACCACCTGGTCCGGGAGGGGCGCACGCATATCCGGCGTGCGTTGAGGAACCTGGCGGCGAAAGCTGATTGCCCGGTGCCGGGATAGCTCTGGACACCATGTGAGGGCAGCGCAAGTCCTCGCCCTATCGAGGCCCTCTACCGCGCACTGGTTAGTGTAGAGCCGGTCGAGGCGCGAGCGAGAGGTAGGAGAGGCGTAAGACATGTCGGGCTGATGGAGCTCATGTAGCCCATGAGGTTGTGCAAGATGACGCTGCCAGCTGACCTCGTCGCATCGGTCGCGGCCGCCCGTGGTCGCCCCTGTGGTGGTTCAGCGGCGGTCGCCCGCCTCCGTAACGTAGTTGAAATCGCCTCCGAGAATGGTGAGAGCCACATCTTGGAGGGCAATGTGCTGGGCGAGCCGTCGTCGAAGTGCCTCGCGTAGCTCCGCTGATGATGGCGTGCGGTGTAGATGTCCAAGGCCAGCGGCATCCACATCATGCTGCGCGACGGTGGCGCCCGTGTGGAAGTAGGTGACCACGAGGTCAAGAGCTCCTCCAGGTCCACGGAGTTGCAAAACCGCCGCTCGACCTCGAAGGAGGATCTTCCACCGCGGATGGTCGGTGAAGTGCTGCAGGAACGTGTTCTTGACCGTTATGCCAACCCCTGCGCTACCTGCAACGTGCCCGGGAGACCACCATGAGGTGCAGCCTGGGGGATTGCGCCAGACGTCTCCGCTGCCCTGCGTGCCGTGCGTCTCCGTCCAGAGGCCGACGTCGCGCGTGCGCATGAGGCGGAAAACGTGCTGAGATTTCTTGCGGTGGCGCTGGGGGTCGGCAGCAAAGAAGGCCTGGCAGTTCCATGTCACCACCGAGACGGCGTCCAAGTAGGGGCTCCGGCTCGCCCCGCGTGGCCGCCTGGGCCCAGCAGCTGGCGCGGGGGTCGGCGGCGATGGATCCCCAGGAGCGGGGGGGCCGGCGCCGAGGGCCGCCCGAAGCGGGCGCTGCAATCTCAATGATGAAGGGACATCCGTAGAGTCGCCGTTGGCGTCGTAACCTGCGCCGGCATCAGGCAGAAGAAGATGCAGCGGCATGGAAGGAAGGCGCGGCACGGGGCTGCTGGAAGAGCGTTCCCCGCATGGTGAAAACCTTGGCAATCGCGTAGAAGCGCCGGTAGTCAAAGTCGAGCTGGACAGACGAGCCGAAGAAGAAGATGAAGCGGAATCAATCGAGCCTGCAACCGGCAGGGTCCGAGAAGTCGAAGCCATGGGAGAAGAAGAACACGAATTCGAACCAGCAGCGTACCCACCAGCGCTGGGGGGGGCGCGGCACGAGACGCCCGGCCCGCCAGCCGGCGGGAGGAGCGAGAAGGCGACGTCCACGATCCAACAGGAGGTGCCACCACTGGTATAGTATTGAATTCCCAATGCGGCCGGAGCCGTGGTGAAAGATGCTAGCTGCTAGATGAGAGCGGGGGAGGCGGCCCCCGGCCCCCCCAGCCGCCCGTTTCCCAGCAAGCCGCGGGAGGCAGCCACGTCGTTGGACACCGTGATGCTCAGGTGGTCGGTACCGACCTGGAGTACTTGTTCATGGAGTGCGCGGTAGACTTTCTGGACCTCCTCTGCGGACTGCAGGTAGAGCCGCGCGCGCTCGCGAGGGGCCGCGGCATCGGCGGCTGGTACGTGGATCCACTGGCCCGGTAGAGGGGCCTGCCCAGCCGCAGCTAAGCTGATGGCCAGCCCCGTGGCCGAGGTGACATGGTTCATCAAGGAGCCCAGCACCACCTGCCCGTTGTCCCTGGTCTCGCCAGCGATGGTGACCTCAGTGATGTACTCTGTCATGTCTCCCTGCCGCTGCGGCCGCCCGCGTCGACGCCGGGAAGCGCCGAGAGCATTGGCAGTGTCGGATGGCCAAGCCCACGGGCGGCCGCCACAGCGGCTGGGCTTCCACTTGATCTTGGCGATCGCCTGCTCGGCGTCCTCCAGGAGAGACTCGTCCAGGATGGGCTGCCAGGACTCCGCCGAGGCCACCGACAGAATAAGCATGCGGTCAGTTGACAGGAATAGTGCCTGAGAGCACAGAGGCCAAGCTTTGTAGAGCGCCAGAGGGCCATTACATTCCATAATCTGCGCGTCCGGGGACGCGTGCAGGTCGCGACGTCCAATGCACATGCTCGACGTCAACACAGACCGCCGCAGAAATCGGATGGCCAGAACGACGCTGGCTTCCGACGCGGCGCTCGGCAAGAGCACCTCGACCATGCTGCGGCGAACCGCCGGGGAGCTACCAGGGCTACGCGAGGTCCCTCTTGGGAGGATTGTCAAAGCATAGCTCTCAACCTCTGTGCTGTAGAGGTTGCGCATCAAGGCCTGGAGGGAGTCCGTGGAAAGGTCGATCCAAACAGAGTTCACCGCTGGGATGGCAAGTAGCGGGGTCAAGGGCTTGTGCACCGTCGGGACGGACCGCTGGGCCTCCATGCAGATGGTGAAGCATGCCAGACCTTGACGCACGTGGCGAGGAGCCGCATGGCCAGGTAGGATATACTCCACTGGCTGGAGAATCAAGTCGACGTGCTTCACCAGGGCTATGACTGCAGCGGCGTCGCCGAGAAGGGGATGCCACCATAGGTCGAATACCTTGGCTGGGGTGTCAACTCTGGGGTAGTTCGGGAGGGGCGCCAGAAGCGACAAGCAGCGCGGGCGAAGAGCAACATCACGTTGTCGAAGTAAGTCGGAAAGTAGCCTCATCAGAGCGCCAGTGTCCGTCGGAGCCCAGGCCACGATGTGTCGACCACCCATGGCATGCAGTGCCCGGCTGTCGCCCTTCTCGAGGAGAGCGGCGAGGTCTCGGTGTTGCTTGACGGTGGTGCTGTGGTCGGCGCCCGTGTCGTCCAGCAGCTTGGACCACTGGGTGGCCATCTCCGCGCCGTTGCATGCGGGAATGCCTCTCACTGCTTGCATGGCCGAGGCGCCGAGCTCCTTCCACCGGGGGAGCTGCGAAGGGCGTACTCGCCGTCGCTGGCGGAGGACTTCAGGCAACTGCTCCTCGCAGCGCTCAGCAGCCGTCCGGAATGTCGCAGCAGCTGCCTCCGCGAGCCCAGTTTCCGAGAGGTGCCAGTCGGCGCTCTTGCCCAGGGAGCATAGGGTGGTCGCCGCTCTTGCGCGGGATGCTATGAGATGCTCCGTGGGCTCGGGGCCGTCGAGTGGGCCGAGCCTCAGGATGTGCCAGGGGTCGGCAGCCTTGGGGTTGAAGGCGAGCTTGAGGAGGGTGGAGTGGAGGTCGGACCATGTGGAGGGGATCTTGACTTCGACGTGATGTCGGGCAGGCCGCTGTGTGCAGCTGCTGGCCTGCGCAAGCTCCACGTGCCGGGTGATTTCGTCCTCCACGAAATCCCTGAGTGCCGCGTCGGGTAGGGGCCCATGGCAGGGTAGGCCAGGAGGGGGGGTGACGGAGGTTACGCTGGCCGCAGTTGCCCTCTGTGAGCCAATGTTGACCTCCCCTAGGCCTTGGGAGAGGCCGGATTGCGTGCTACCGTCATCCACCTGCATCGTGGCCGCGTCGCTGGCGTGACCCACGGGTGCTAGCGGTGCGGCGGCGTCCCCTCCAGATCCAGCGCCCTCTGCTTGTCCAGGTGGCGGCAGTGCTGGGGGCTGAGGTTGCCGTTCCAAGTTGCAGGACGGGCATCTGCCCGCGCCTGGAGCCGGAGCCCCAAAGAGTGGGCACGCACTGTGTTGGCAGGAGAAGGGCGCGGTAAGCAGGGCTTCTGGGCCTCCACCGCGTAGGCGGAGTACCAAATGCATCGTGGCGTACTTCTGGATGTTGTAGTCCGTGAGCGTACGGCTGTCCTCCAGCTGTTCACTTCCAAAAAACAAGCGTTGCTGGTCGGGAGGGATGCGCTCAGTGTCCTGGATGACCATTTTTACGTCGCAGATCGTGTAGTCAGCCTCCACCTTGAGCAATATGGTTTTCCCCGTGAGCATCTTCACATAGACCTTCATACAGCTGGCATCGGTGCGGCTGGCGTCGGTGCCGTAGTCGGTGCCGGCGTCGGAGCCGTGGTCCTCATGCTCGCCGTGGGCGTCGTAGCTGACGTGGTTGTCGTTGGTGACGTAGTTGTCGTGGGTGTCGTGAGTGCTGGCGTTGTTGCTGACGTCGGAGCTGCCCTGGCCGCTGGCGTGAGCGCTGGCGTGAGTGTTGGCGTAGGTGATGGCCCCAGCCTGCTCACCAGCGAGATCCTGGCCCCTGAGGTTCTGGAGGTCGCTCTTGGTGACCTCCAGCTGCTCTTCGACGTCCACGTGGTCAAGGATCTTCAGCTGGTCTCCGAAGCCCTGGTGGTTGTGGACCGCCAGGGGGTCGCCGAAGTCCAGGTGGTCGATGAGCTCCAGGGGGTCGCCGATGTCCTGGGAGCCGTTGATCTCCACCAAGTCCCCAATGTCCAGGTGGTCGCTGATCCCCAGCTGGTCAACGCTGCCGTTCTGCATCGTGATACCCTCCATGATGAGCCGTTCGGGTGGGGGGTCTCCTCCTCCTTCTCCGAGTCGCTGATGTCGGGGCCCGTGGCGTCAGCGTCTGGGGCAGCAGCCCGGGCAGCAGCCAAGGCAGCAGCTGGGGCAGCAGCCGGCCCGTGCGTCGAGCAGAGCATGGCGGCCGAAAGCGGTCGGGCCCGGAAGCTTGAGACCAGAATGCGCCCTGTGCGCGGGCACTTGAGCCAGGAGTGGTCTGTGTGTGTTTGCATGGGTCTATGTGCTATTGAGTTTGATTGTGCTTGAGTCTGGGTGTGACTGAGTCTGAGTGCGGATGAGTCTGAGTATGAGGTATGAGTGAGTGCGAGTGCGGGGGAGACTGAGTGAGGGCCTTGAATCTGGAGTTTGAGCGCGTCCCCGACCGAGTTCCAACGATCCCAGGGCCCTAAAACAGCTTCCATATGGCCTCATCGGACTCGCCAGACTGACTGGACTCACCGGACTCACCGGACCCACTGACACCAGCGGAGGAGGCGCCGGACTCACAGGACCCGCTGGACCCACCGGACTCGCCGGACTCACCGGACTCCCCGGACCCGCCGGACTCACTGGACTCGCCGGACCCACCGGGCCCACCAGATAGCAGCGCCAGATCCGGCCGGGCCCACTGGACTGGGGCAGCAGGGTGCACCATCCTCGCCGGAGGGGGGGAGCCCGCGGCGACGGCCGAAGGAGCTGCGCCGGGCGGCGGGGCCGCCTGCGCCCGTCCGGCCAGGTCATCACGGCGAAGCCGTGGAACCGGTCCTCCTCGAACTGCCCGCGGTACTGCCGCTGGTCGTCCTCGCCCTCTCCCCCTCCCTCCCTCCCACCCCCTCCCTCCCCCTCCCCCTCCCCCTCCCTCCCCCTCCCTCCCCCTGCCTCCCTCGCTCCCTCCCCCTCCCTCCCCCTCCCCTCCCCCTCCTCTCCACCTCCCCCTCCCTCCCCTTCCCTCCCTCCCCTCCCCTCCCTCCCTCTCCCTCCCCTCCTCCCTCCCTCCCCTCCCTCCCTCCCTCTTCCCACTCAAGTACTTCGAGCGAAAACCCCAAACATGATCAGGACGGACGGACGTTGTTTTGCCGTTTTCGGTTTCGGGAGGCCCTCGCCGGGCCCCTGGACCGTTAAAAAACGACTCAGGATGAAAAGCCGGTCCTGGGGAAAGGGTCAGGACTGCGGGGACGCCGCACTGAAACAATCAGGACGTCGCATGCCTGGCCCATTCAGGTACTACGAACGGACACTAAGGTCGGCTGCGCTTCAAGGCAGTCGACTTCACTGCCCAGCTGGTACTGTCTGGCTGCTTCGCGTAACCTGGGTGCCCCAGCAAAGTTGTTAATTATCTCACTCATACTCTGCGAGTTGCGCGCCGCCCTCTGCTGACAGACTCGCCGAAATCCCCAAATCCCCCTTCCCCTTCCCCTCCCAGTTTCAATCGGAGGGCGGGCGGCTTTCAAAATGTGGTTCTCGCCTAATCGCCGCGCCGCACTCGGCTTAAGATATGGCAGCAGGTTCATGGAGGGCGGTTTGTTGGAATGTGTGGCTCTCGCCTGAGTGCCGCGCACATTCTATGTAAAAGCTTGCAACAGTTTTAAGGGTTCGTATGGTAGAGGTCCCAAAAACGGCGTTCCGGCACAATTTAGAGTTGTTAGGGTGGAACAAGCACTTTACTTCGCGGTGCTGAGATCCCACAAACGGTGCTCTGGCACGAATCAAGTTGCAACAGTCACGTTGGTCCGCGGCGTTGAAGTCCCAGGAATGGTGTTCTGGCGCACCTTCGGATTGTCAGGGCGCAACAGTCACGTTGATCTGCACCGTTGACGTCCTAGAAATCCGCCGACCCCTTGGGTCATCGGCGTGTGAGATGCTTCCCCCTCCCCAAACCCCTCCCCCGGGAACCCGGTCCGGTCGATTTGGAGGGGGGGGGGGGTGCCCACGACGAGCGACTCACGACGCTCTTCCGGGCCCAAAAGGGCCCAAATACGGGCCAAGAAAGCCCCAAGAGGCCTCCCAGACGTTCCAAGAGGCCCCCAGACGCCCCAAGAGACCGCCTAGACGCCCTAAGAAGCGCCCAAGAGGCCCCAAGAGGCTTCCAAGACGCCCCACGAGGGCTCCAAGACGCCCCAAGAGACCTCCAAGAGGCCCCCGAGGAGCGCCCCAAGAGGCCAAAATCGTTGATTTTCATTGGTTCTTTTATGTTTTCGTCATTTTCCTCTTTTCGGCCTTCCGACGCTCCAAGACAGCCCAAGATGCTCCCAAGACTGCTCCAAGACGGCACAAGAGGCCTCCACGACGCCCCCAAGACGGCCCAGGAGAGCCCCCAGACGGCCCAAGAGCCGCCTAAGGCGGCCCAAGAGAGCCCCCTGACGGCCCAAGAGCCGCCCAAGACGGCCCAAAAACCTCCCGGAGACGGGCCCGAGAGGGGCTCCAGAGAGAGACCACGCACCGGAAAACCCAGCCTTACGCCCCAAAAGCCCCCAGGAGGCCCCAAGAGGCCCCAAAGAGGCCCCAAGAACCCCCCAAAAGGCCCCCAAGACGTTCCAAGAGGCGCCCAAGAAGCCACAAAGAGGCCCCAAAACGGCCCCCAAAAGCCTTCGAAACTGTTCCAAGAGGCCCGCAAGAAGCCCCCCCGCAAGATCCCAACGGATATCTCCGAACACACCGGTTTTTCGAGTCGCGCCCAGCCCCATAACCCGGAGCCTCATCTCAGTGTCCCCCTCCTCCTCCTCTTCCTCCTCCTCCTACACTTCCTCCTCGTTCCCCTCCTCCTCTTCCTGCCCCGCTTCAGCTCATCCTCACCGATGCTTCTCCCCCCCATTTTCCGCCTCACCCCCCATCCTCCTCTTCCCGTCCTCCCTTTTCTGCCCAGTACGCGCAACCGAATGGGCATCATTTGCACGTCTTGCACTTTAGGGTGCCCTTCTTTGCGTCGCGCGGGAAATTGTGCGGGTCGGGGAACGCCGACTTTGGTAGTCCTCTCTTGCACGCGCCGCTGCAGTGATAAGCCTGGCAACTGCGCGCTGTGAACCCGACTTCCTCGCAGCTTCTGCACACCACTTTAGCTCCTTTCGCCGCTCGATGATGTTCCATTTGCTTCTGCTTCAAATGTTTCGTGTCCGAGAACGCGCCTTTGCACGCCGCGCACGTCAGCGGCTTCGCGTCCGCCTTTGCTTTCCGCTTGCGATTCTCTGCATCCGCCTTCTCGTTCCGCCCACCCTTCTCGTTGCGGGCGCACGCCCTGCAAAGCCTCTCCCCCGCATCTTTCGAGTCGTACTGGTTCGGGGGATAAAGTCGGGCCATGACGCCCCCAAGACGTCCAAGATTGCCTCAATAAAAAAACAAGGGGTCAGCGGTGTGGCGTAAGCCTAAAGAATCGCATTTTGGCGCGATCGAGGATTCTCTGACGGTTGTCTTCTGACGGGCCACTTCCCGCAGTGAAAATCCACTGGCCCTGTCAGCGTGTGTGAGACGCTCTTTCGTTAGACTCGTCGTCGTCGTCGCCGTCGCCGCTCCCCCCCCCCTTTTCCCTCGGCCCTCCTCGAGCGCGCCAGCAACAGCGAAATTGAGATACGTCGTAGTGATGTAGAACGAGAGCCTTTTGCCTTCGATCCCTTGTCCGCCAAGGGGGGTGTCCCAGCGGGGGGGGGTGATGGGGGGGCGTGGAGGTCCTGGGGGGTCCCGGGTCCGACTGCCATCCCCCTCGGGGGGGCTCGGAGGCCCAAGTGGATCCAAGACGGGCCAAGAGTGCCACAAGAGGCTCCCAAACGGCCCCCGAGTGTCCCAGATCGCCAGGCCAAGACGCCCGGATAGTCTCCAGACGACCAAGAGGCCCTCAAGAAACCTCCAAGCCCAAGAAAGCCCCAAGAGGCAAACTTCATTCATGTCCGTGAAGTTGTTGACAGATTTGGGCTTTCTCGCCTGTTGGGCTTCCCGACGCTCCAACACGGCCCAAGCGGCCCCCACGGTCGCCCCAAGACGGCCCAAGACGCAGCGAAGAGGGACCCAAAACGACCCAAGAGGGTTTCAAGACAACCCAAGAGGCCTCAGAAACGGCCTAAGCTCCCAAGACGGCTCCAAAGGGGTGCCCAGACAGGGAACCCGAACACACATTTCGAGCCCTCGTCCCCCGAGAGGCTCCCAGGAGGCTCCAAGAGACCCCCAAGAGACCCCCAGAAGCCCCCAAGAGATCCCCACGAGGCCCCCCCCCGGGGAAATCCCACGAGACCCCCAAGAGAGGCCCCCGAGAGGCCGCCAAGGGGCTCCCAAGGCGCCGCGCCTCCGGGCACCTCGCGGAGGAGGCTCCGCCGCCGAACCGCGGGGCCTCGTGGGGTCTCCACCCGATCCGCCGGCCCCGGGCACCCCACGGCGGCGGAGGGCGGGGGAGGGAACGGTTTCCTCCCCGGGAGCAGGCGCCCGGAGCTGCGGCGCAGCGCGGGGCAGCGCGCGCCCACAAGCGCTCGTGGCACCGAGTGGGGCCGCAGCGCGGGGGCCACGGCGGGGCGGCCTGGCCCGGCCTGGCCAGGGCGCGCGCCCTCGGGGCAGCCCGCCGCAGGGCAGCCGGCGGGGGGGGGAGGGAGCGAGGCAGCGAGGGGACGAGCAGACGACGACGCCCGCGCACGCGTGGGAGGCCGAGGGCCCAGGCGGGCGGGCGGACGAGCGGCGGCTGCGGACGGCCACCCGTCCCTGTGGGCGGGCGGGCGCCCACGCCCAACGGCTCCCCAGGGTTGTGTTGTTCCCACCCACGTCCACGTCCACGTCTCTGGGGTGTAGCCGCTGCGCGACTCCCGGACCAGCAGGCGGTATAACCTCTATGTACAACCTGAAGGATGGGGAAGCCCACAGCGGCTGGCCCCCCTGCCGCCCTTCTCCAGTCTGCCCCCAGGGGGGGGACGCGGGGAGCAGGAGCCCAGGAGAGGCCAGAAGAGGAACCAGGGAGACCGAAGAAACCAGGACGAGAACCAGGGGGCCCGAGGAAGGGGAAGGGGAGGGGGGGAGGGGAGCCCGACCAGAGAGTGGCGGGGGGGTGGCAACCATGGGAAGAGGGAAGACCGTCGCGTCTCGATCGCGTGTACAGCCCCGCAACAAAACCCGCACCAGCCCACACAACGACCGCCCGAGGCGCGCAACACAATAGCGGAGGCACATCGAGAAAGGGGTGCGCCCGACCCAGTCCCCCATGGAGGTGGCCGCAACAGCGGTGAGCACCACGCACAGTGGCCCCACTTGATGCATTTAGTCATACCGACCCCTTTTGGGGGGCCGACGCGCCAAGAGGCCCAGAACTGCCGGGCTGTATGACGCTCCACCCTGGGTCCAGGCCCCAGGAGGCCCGAAGGGGAGACCCCGCCCCCTGGGACCCCACCCACGGGGGGAGCGTGACGATCCAGACGTTCGTCCTAAAGAGAGCGCCCGAGAGACGAGATTCACGGAAACATCACCCACAAAACAATTTCACTCAAAAACACGCCACACGTTTCTCCCCGGCCGCGTGGGGCAGGGGGCGGCTGGCCACTCGGTGGAAACCGGCGACCTGGCGCAGATGGATGGGGCAAGCCCTTCCTTGTGCCGCCCCCAGATGGTCGGGGGAACCCGCCATCGACAGCGTGCGGTGTAGAAACACCAACACGGGCAGCGCAGCCAAAATCCGAAACTTGTTGTGTGGCGCTCGTGTCCCCAGACGCTTCGTGTACATGGACCTCGCATTCCGTTACCAAGCTCTCGCCCTCTTCATAGCTTCCCTATCCTGTTCACTCCGCGCTCCCATCTATGTTGGCCCTTATTACCACCTTCTGGTTTCGATGGGTCGTTTTAGGACGCCCACCCCGCCCGACCATGGCCGAAACCACCGCCGAGTGAGACCGGCGCCCAGGGACTGCACACCCCGCCCGACCATGGCCGAAACCACCGCCGAACGACATGTGCACACCCATTTGACGGTGCGCCTAGACCAAGGGCGTCGCCGTCCTGCCACCCCGCCCACCATCAGGGGAAAGGTCCGGAGACCCAACCGCCCCTGATAGGTGTTTGGACGAAGTGGGTTGTACACTCCCGCCCCCGAACAATCAAATGTGTCCAGTGATAGGCTCGCAAGTGCCAGTGGCCAGTGACCCAAAACAATAGCAACGAACCTAACACCACCGAAGGCTCAAGAGGGGGCGCCCCCGGAGGGGCATGGGTTAGCCGTGTCCCCCCTCCACCAAACCCTACCCCTTGACCGCGAAAGTCCAAGCACACGAAGACCCGTGACCCAGCACAACAGCGGCGAGGGTGAAGGACTAGCCAATCCCGCAGGTTAGAGTGGGGGCTACCGACCCGCCTCGGTCAGTGGCTCCCCCTCACCCCTGCCATGGCTAGTCTTGCACACTCCTCCTGTGGTCCGGGATGGGGTCCAGTGGAGGGACGCGGGACACGTTGTCCCAGGTGCGGCCGTGTTCAGGTAGAACTGGAGGCCTGTGTACCTGCACCTGTGTTGTTCCCACCCTACTCGAGGACCACACACATCCCAGAGATAATTTCGAGCACCCAGAAGAGTCAAAAGAGTATCGAAACAATGTCGGGCGAGTGTCTCCCAGGGCCCGGCACGTGAAAACCCTCGAGCTTTGGGGGTGCGCTCGAAATTGCTCCTGGTGGTCAAAGCTAAAGCGGGTTGGAACATCATAACCCCGGGGACCTGGGCCGGGACTCGAGATGCTTTGGATGTCGCTCGTAATCGGAGGAGTCCACACGGGGTCCACCAGGAGCCTATACAGAGACAGGAGGCCTGGTGAGCTCGACGAGGGCGAACGCCGCCCGTCTGACTTCAGCAAGATGACCCGCCCAACCCTCCACACTGGGCGGCGGCGTGAACACTCGAGACGAGATGCTTTGGATGCGGATGCTCGTCGGCGGGGCGCCTCCGGTTCCCGGGTCGACCAGCTTCGCGCCTCGGGCCCCGCGGTGCGCGAGAAGATCTCCGCGCCCCGTGGTGGCCCTCGCGCCGCCCCCGCGAACACACGGGCGGCCGCCCTGGCGCAGACCACGAGACGCAAAGCGGGAGGGGCGCTGTCTGGATGAGCTTGCTTCCTGGATGGGACTCCTTGTCCGCTGTGCCCATCCATGATGAGCCAAATTTTCACCACCACAACCATAATTATGACGGGGGGGAAGGGAGGATTGGGAGGGTTTCCTCCTCCTCCTCCTCCTCCTTCTCCTCCTCCTCCTCCTCATCCTTCTGCTCCTCCTCCTCCTTCTGCTCCTCCTCCTCCCTCCTTTCCTCCTCCTCCTCCTCCTCCTCCTCCTCCTCCTCCTCCTCCTCCTACCTATGATAGTGGTGGTGGAAAATCGGCCCATCCGATCCAAGGGTAATGGTAACTGCAATCACATAGATCCGCTTGTGTGCACCAATGCATCGTTTGTTACCCTGGCCCACGCACTAGGTCCACCACACCCGTATGGCGATCGTTCGCCATCCAGACCACAAGCTCCTTACGTCAGACAGGCGGCAGCCTTACTTCAAGCACCGCGGTGTTAAAGGTGGGCCGCTCCGGGAACCCTTCCAGCAGGGCCACGCCTGCCCTTAAGGGCCTCAGACACCACCAGAAATCCGCAATCTCCTTCTCCGTCTTCCCTTGCGAGCTGTCGCAATCCGCGCCTCCAATAAGGGACCAACTCCCTCGCTCTGCGCCACGCAGCCGTTGACCGCCTCGCTGCGCCGCCAATGCCGAGAGCCCGTGGCCCAGCCCTGCGCCCACAGCGACAAACCGCTTAACGCTGCCAGCGCCTTCCTCCTCCACCACCACCTCCTCCGCCTCCCCTCCGCCTCACTCCATCCTCCTCCTCGACAACCTTCGCATCTTCCTACTCCTCATTCTCGTCCTCCCACTCCTGCCCTGCTCACAATCATATACCGCCTCCTCCTGCCCGCGCTGGCCGTCCCAGGTGAGCACCCCGTTGCCGTGCTTCATGTTGCTGGCGAACTCGCCGTCGTAAGTGCTGCCGACCATCTTGAGGACACCCGTGCCGTGTCTGATGAGGGAAGGGAGGGGGCGGCGACAATGGGAGTGGTCGGAGGGATTCACAGGCGGGTTGAAGGGGGGCGCGGTCACGCAGTCGGTCGGTCGGCAGACTCCCTCGGGAGATCGTACCTCCTGCTTCTCCTCCTCATCCTCCCCCTCTCGGCGTAGCTACTGCTACACATCAATATTGTATTCGCTGCTATGTGCTGCTGCAGTTGCGGATGAGACTGCCACTGCTAGTGCCACTGCCATTGCTATTACAGCTGCCCTCCTCTTCGTTTTTCCTCCCCCTCCTCCTCCTCCTCCTCCTCCTCCTCCTCCTCCTCCTCCTCCTCCTCCTCCTCCTCCTTCGTGTTCCTGTTCATCTCCTCCTCCTCCTCATCCTCCTCCTCCTACTCCTCCTTCTCCTCCTCCGCATGTCCCCTCCACCTCGCCCTTCTCCTCCTCCTCCTCCTCCTCACCTCCTCCCCCTCCCAATGTTTTGTTATCCTCCTCCTCCGCCTCCCCCCTCCTCCCCATTCATCCTCCTCCTCCTCCTCCTCCTCCTCCTCCTCCTCCTCCTCCTCCTCATCATCATCATCATCATCATCACCATCACCACCATCGTCATGATCGCGAGCAACATCAGCATTCTCACCATAACCACCACCATCATCGCCAATACGCATCACAAGCATCACCGCCATCGTCATCGTCATGAGCAACATCATCATCATCATCATCATCATCATCATCATCATCATCATCATCATCATCATCATCATCATCAGCAGCAGCAGCAGCAGCATCATCATCATCATCATCATCAGCATCATCATCATCATCATCATCATCATCATCATCATCATCCTCATCCTCATCATCAGCATCATCATCATCAGCATCAGCATCAACATCATCATCAACATCCTCATCACCATCAATCACCATCATCATCAACATCATCGTCGTCAACATCACCCTCTTCATCATGATCGTGATCCGCATCGGTACCACCATTACCGTCAACAATCGTCAGCATCATCAGCATCGCCATCATCATCAGCATCAGCATCAGCATCGTCATCGTCGCCATCATTATCATCAGCAGTACCACCATCATCACCATATCAACATTATCACCGCCATCGTCATCCTCATGGTCGTCAGAATTAGCGTCACCATCATCACTACAGACACCATCATCGTCATTAGTTCTAGCATCATCATCACCATCAACAGCACAATCCTCAACATCTTCATCATCACCATCATCATCACCCTCACAACCTTGATCATCACCACCAGGATCACCAATCGCAGCAACATGATCGTGATCCTAATCATGGTCACCACCATCATCATCTCGCGTGTCCTCCCCCGTAATTTTCCGCTCCTCCCCCTCCGCCACCTCATCATACATCCCCTCCGTCGCCTCCGCCTCCTCCATTCCTTCTCCTTATAAAGAACGTCTCCCCTGCCGCACCCCGAGGCCAGATTTTAGGACGGGTCGGGCGTTTCGCCTCAGATTTCCTCACCATTTCTGACCCTGACGCTTAAACATTGGCAACCGTGTCACAGATGAAGGGCGGGTGTTTTTTTAATGTGGTTCTCGCCTTAGCGCAGCGCGCATTCTTCTTCACAACTTGCAAGAGTTTCGCTGATTGAGGGCGGAGCGTTTTCAAAATGTGGCTCTCGCCTTCGCGCCACGCACATTTCACGGACTGAGGGCGGATGTTTTTTTGAATGTGGCTCTCGCCTTAGCGCCGCGCGCATTCTTAAACCAACAAAAAACTTAATGGATAGAGGGCGGGTGGTTTTCAAAATGTGGCTCTCGCCTCAGCGCCGCGCACATTCGCTTCACAAAGTTGCAAGAGTTTCGCGGATTGAGGGCGGGTGGTTTTCAAAATGTGGCTCGCCTCAGCGCGGAGCACATTCGTATATAAATGTTACGAGCGTTTCGCGGATTCCTATGATCAGCGTACCAGAAGTGGTGTGTTGGAAAGATTCAGGATTATGAGGGCGCAACAGTTACGTAGACTCGCGGTTTTGAAGTCCCAGGCATGGCGCTCTGGCACGATTCAGGATCGTCAAGATGCAACAGTCAGGTTGATCCGTGGCGTTGGACTCCCGAGAGCAATACTTTGGCATGCTACAGAGTCTTTAACCGGTGGTCTTCCGACAAGGCAGCTCCATCAGTGGAAATGAACCGTTGCAGGGGCCTATGGAGGGGTGGCTTGGAGGGAGGGTTTACTCCAACATCGTTGATGACTCTTGGGGTTGCACTGGTCCACCTCCACCTCCTTCTCCTCCTCCTCCTCCTCCTCCTCCTCCTCCTCCTCTGCCTTCTTCTCCTCCTCCCGCCCCTCCTCATCCTCGTTTTCCTCCTCTTCTCCTCCGCCGTCTCCTCAGGTCCGGCTCCTCCTCCTGTTCCCCCTCCTCCTCCCTACTGCCGAGCTGGAGCGACTGCGACCTGCTGTGACACGCTGGTCCCTGGCGGGAGGGAGGGAACAAGGAGGGAGGGAGGGAAAGAGGGAGGAGGGGGGGAGGGGGGAGGAGGACAAGCTAGGTGCGCTCACGCCACATGTGACATCCTGACCCTCCCCACCACAATTTGGAAGAGAAGGAGGAGCAGGTGGAGGAGGAAGAGGAAGAGGAGGAGGAGGAGAAAGAGGGGGAGGAGGATAAGGACGAGGAGAGGGAGGAGGAGGAGGAGGAGTAGGAATAGGAGGAGGAGGAAGAGGATGAGGATGAGGAGGAGGGGGAGGAGAGGAGGAGGAGGAGGAGGAGGAGGAGGAGGAGGAGGAGGAGGAGGGAGGAGGAGGAGGAGGAGGAGGAGGAGGAGGAGGAGGAGGAGGAGGAGAGGAGGAGGAGGAGGAGGAGGAGGAGGAGATGAGGAGGACGGAGGAGGAGGAATAAGAAGAATAAGGAAAACAATAGGGCGAGGAGGAGGGGGGGGGAGGGGGGGGAAGGGAGGCAGGAAAGAGGAGGAGGAGGAGGAGAAAGAGGAGGAGAAGGAAAGGGAGATTGCAGTGCAGTGCCAATGCTCTTGAGGATAGGCATAACCCTGTTGAGGTGCTCGCGAAGGTTGAATGGCAAACTTTCCAGTCCCTGAACCAGCATGAGGAGGAGGAGGAGTAGAGCACTCCCGTCAGAGATCCAGTGAGGGCCGAACCGTTGGGTGGCAGGCTATCATGCGCCTGCTGACTGGGAGGAGCCAGCGTTCTTTGCCGCCTCTGCCTGGGAGCGAGCTCAGGACAGGCCAGGCTGCCCAGGCGCCGCCTCGCGGGCAGGCGGTTGCGCAGCAACGAAACAAGGGTAAGCAGACCCTCGACGCGAAGTGGCCGTTACCACCACTGATTCATCACGATAATGATGACACCAGCCGTCATAAAGCCTGCGACGACTCGTGGGAACCCCTGCAAACCTATGTTGAAAGCACTCCTTGACCAACTTATGGCATCGACTCGAGGTGTACTGTCCGCACACCGTGCAGACAAAAAACAACAACAAGCATTTAAACTGTACCTTGAGCACTCTGCAATGAGCTAGCGGATGCCTGGAGCGACAAACCGAAAGCATTCCTCCAGGTCAGGCTCATATCTTTGAAACCGAAAATGAGGTTGGAAGAGGGATCGGTCCAGAGAGTCAGGCAGCGGAGGCATCCGGACCCACCTGACTCCAACTCCTGCCACGCGTGCCACCCATTCGAATCAAAACATTTGACCCAGGACCCACACTCGAACGTTCGAATTGTTCCGGCGGGAAAAAGTAAACGCAACTTTGCCAACAGCACGCACAATGATGCGGAACAGGTTACACCCCCTGTCCACATGCTCTATTTCCAACGGGAAAGGTTGAGCGTGGCCGAGGATTGCTTGTTTGGCCTGGGCATCTGCGTTCCAATTCCCGGCTCCAAAACGTCGCTCAGCAGCAGGACAAGGCATCGATAACACTTCGCTCTGCGCGCTATTCTGTGCAAGACAGGGGGCCACACGGCCGTCCATTTCGTGCATCAGCGCTGCGCGGCGCACGCCAGCGTACCGATGCTTCCTAGAAGCGTGGCGCGGAGGATCTGCAGCAAATAGCTCTGCCACCGTCACGATGTTTCCGAACCTGCTCCCTCCGAGCTCCTGGCGCATAGGAAGAATGGCCGTGGCCTGATGGCCTGCAACTTCAGACATGTGTGGTAAGGTGTCCAACACCGTGCCGCGAGCGCTAGCAACCGTCTTATCCAAACCAGGCCCCGAGAACATCCAGGAGAAGGAAGCCCGCGAGGGCTCACGGATACAGTGAGGGGCCGCAGAACCACCCTCGCAAACATCAAACCCCCGCAAGTCCACATAATCTCACGGCACGAATGCACTAGCAACATCATGCAGCGTCGGGTTAAGATTCCTGGAGGGAAGGGGGCATAATTTCAGGGTGGTCCCACTTCACCTCGTCAAAAAACAGCCTGACATTACTATCAAGCGCTTCGCCGTGCCAGTCTGGCGCCACGTCCTCGAGCGCTGCAGCGCGAACCCGAGCAGTTTCAGCATGCATGCGCTGCCAGACGCGGTGACTGGCTGTCCGCGAAGAGGGCGCGCTGGGTTCGCCTGGTATCCGCATGAGCGGGCCGTGGCGCGTGTCCACATGTCTCAAAAAAACATGAGAGCCACATGCTGTTCCCTAGGGCTGAAGAATTTCCCCGGGGTCCCACGGTCTTTTCGAAGGCCGTGGGGGGTCCACACAAACGCGGGCCCCTTGAAAACCAAGGGCGCTCGCAGCTAGCATCCTTTCGTGATAACGCTGGGTGGCAAGGTCAGATAGGTGAGCGAGCATGGCGGGGGAGGTGTACCCTTCGTGAGTCTCCTTCCCTCCATCGCCCCGAGAAGTCAGAGCCGACGTCGACTCCCATCCTGTGCGGCGCAAGCTAACGTGCAGGCGCTGAATATGTCCCCTGGGATACCGCCCGAATGCCCGCCCAAGGCAAGAGGGGGGGAAGAGGAAGAGGAGGAGGAGGAGGAGGAGGAGGAGGAGGAGGAGGACTTCCTCGGGGGCCCCCAAGGCAGAACGCAGAAGGAAAAGCAGCAGCAGCACTCCGCAGCAGGAGGCTCTGGCCGCCTGCCCCCAGCGCCTTGACGCACCCGGCGAGCGCGAGCACCCCCGGGGTCGTCACGAGCCATGGCTCTCGAGCTGGCCGGCCGCCGCCGCAGACCGCGGGCGGGCCCCGCGGGCGACGCGCGGGCCCCGCCGCTGCCCCACTCGCGGCGCATATACGACGCAGGGCCTGCCTGGCCCGCGCTTCTCCGTCGGCCCGTCCCGGTGTCCGCAGGAGAGCCGCCTCCTCCTCCTCTTCCTCCTCCTCCTCCTCCCCCTCCCCCTCCCCTCCTCCTCCTCCTCCTCCTCCTCCTCCTCCTCCTCCTCCTCCTCCTCCTCTGAGCCGCGGCGCCCCCGCACTGCAGCGCTGGCGCACAGCCCGGCGCGAGCCGGCTCCGACTCGCTCGCGCAGTCAGCCCCAGCGAGGCGCGACTGGACGGCCTCTTGACAGCCGGTGGCGGTGACTCTGAGTGCTCCTGTGCGTCGCTGCCGCCCGCCCCCGGGAATCTCAGGCGGGCAGTTCCCAGCGCCATGCACGCAGCGTTTACCGGAGTAGGCGCCGCCATGCGGACCGAAGACCAGGGGCAGGCACGCCTCATCGTGAACCAGAGACACGCCTGACTCGTGGCCACGCTGCTCCGCTCCGCGGGGCCTTCTGGTGGCCGCGGGGAGGCCGTCATCGGGCGGTCCTCCCCGAAAAATCGCACCGAAACGCTTCCTGCACCTCCGCGCCACCCCAGGTTTAACCTCGCACCAACCGTGCCGGCTCGGATCTCTGATCGGCCTGGGCCAGAGTCCTCGGGGCGCGCGGGGCGCTCGCCAGGGGGCGGCGCCGGAGGCGCCCCTGGGGGGGTGCCCGGGCGCGGATCCAAGAGATCCACGCGGAGCGCCAAAAGTATGTGTTCATGGCGTTTTTTCGTCTTCTTCGAAGAAGGCGCAACGACGTCGGGGCGTGGGAGGGGCGGCGCGGGCGGGCTCGGGCGCATTGTCTTCGTCGTGATCGTTGCTGTCGTTCTCGCTGTGGTCGCTGTCGTTGTTCCTTACCGTTGTTACCGTTGTGGTCGTTATCGTGATCGCTGTGATCGCTATCGCCGATAGCTGTGATCCTTGTGATCGTGACGATCGTGATCGCTGTGCTCGCCACAGTAGGCGGCCGCTGCCGCCGAGCGTCGTGATCGCCGTGGCCGCTGCCGCTCCGGTCGACCTCGCCGCGATCGCCGCGATCGCTCTCGCGGTCCTCGCGGCCCTCGCCGCGATCGCTGCCGGGTCGCCCTCGCCGACGTCGCTCCCGCCGCGACCCCCCCGGGAGGGGCGGGGCCCCCGGGCGCCTCAGCGCGCCCAGGTAGCCGCCCTCGTAGGAGACCTCGGCGGCCCCGCCGCGCTGCGCCTCCTCGCCGGGCCTCGCCGAGGGCGCGCCTCCTGCGGGGGCCGCGCTGGCGCTCGGGGGGGGGGGGGCGCGCACAGGCAGAGGCAGGTCCCAGGATGCCCTGTCGTCATCGCAGTTATCGTTTATCGCTGTGATCGTTTGTCGCTGTGATCGCTGTCGTCCTTGTCGCTGTCGTTGTCGTTGTCGCTGTCGTCGTCGTCGTTGTTTTCTGTCGTTGTCGCTGTGATCGTTGTCGTTGAGGTCGTTGTTGTCGTTGTCGTTGCGGTCGTTGTCGTTGCCATTATGATCGATGTGATCGTTGTCGTTGCTATCGTTGTTATCGTTGTTATCGTTGTTATCGTAATCCCCGGATTTCCGAAAACTTCGCAAGTTTTCTGGGTTTTCATCTTCCCCATCCACTTCCCACATGTTCCCATCTGTTCCGGGGGATGGACGCATCTCTGTGTGTCTGTGTGCTTTTTCCCCTCCCGAAATTGTTTGGGAAGAGCGAAAGGGTAGGATAGCAAAGGGCAGGGTAGAGAATCAGCTCACGTAGCTGGTTTCCTGGCGCCTCCTGGCGCCGGGAGGCGCCCATGTATCGAGGGGTGGGCCTGGCGGCGGGGCCCAACCCGGCTGCACGCAGCAGATTTCGCAATCCCCCCTCTCCGTATCCTACGCTTTCATCTGGCCCGATTCTTCCCTGGCGCAGCCAAAACCCATGGTAATGACACCAGGTAGTCGGCGGCGAGCCTGGCGGGGACGCGAGAAGGGGCGGGCCTTCTCACAAGCCTCGGAAGTTCCCCGGCCGTCTTAAAAGTTTTCTGAGCCTTCCCAGGGGACACACACGCACACGCGAACAACGAAAAAAACGTCTCAGAAGGCTGGGGGGCTTCTGAGACGCCCCGTCGCCTTCTGAGAAGGCCTTCTACTTCTCTCTTCCCCCTTTCGCTCGCCACCGAGGTACGGATGCACGACCCTTTGGAGCCCCACTGAGCATTGAGAGCTCCCTGGACGTCAACATTGGCTCAGGATGGGCCGAAGAAGCAAGGATGCGAGGGTACCCTTGATGAAGCAGCGCCACCGTACATACTATGGATGTTCCTCTCAACGTTTGTTCAACGGACAGGCGTTAATCAGAATGATCCATGCGGAGGTCCCCGTACGTGCATTCAATTTCCTGGCGCTTCCCACTGTGAGCGACAGAACGTGAGAGATCATTAGCCTGCAACATGGCGATGATCATGGGGTTCTGAATGCAGAGAGGCTGGGGGTGCAGAACGAACGCCTCGCTCGAGACATCTCGCAATCTGGCTGCAACACACCCTGGCGGCCCCCCCGTGGGGTGCTAAAACAACCGTCTCTCGCGAGACATCCTCACACCCTGCTCTGAAGGCAAAGGAGTCGGAGATGCCAAGCGAGCCCTCGCTCGAAGTATCCCCACAGTCTGGCCGCGAATGGGCGAGTGTCCCACTCCCTGCCGGTTCCCCCTTGGGGTGTCCAAGTGCTATGCCTGCTACACTCGTACTCGTGCAGCCGCCCCTGGCGGTTCTTCCCTGGGATGCTTCGAACGAACGGGCGCGAACGGGCGACCGCAACCGCACCTGGCGACTCCTCTTTGGGATGCGCAAGCGCTGCTACACCTGCTAGATCGGGGTGGGCATGTGGCCCTGGGCGGAGATGAGTCTGAGCTCGGAAACAGGCGAGCCGCCTGAGACGACCCCCCCATCTGGCCGCGAACGGGTGACTGCAACCGCCCCTGGCGGCTCCCTCTTGGGACGCCCGAGGGCCATGCCTGCTGCAGTTCGACGAACATCAGGGAGCCTGACTCTACAAAACGAATATAACTGGGTCTGCATGTGAGTATCAGAGTATGGGTAGATCTCAATGTGGCTCTGAGTATGCGTGAGTCTGAATGTGAACGGTCATAGCGTGGGTGGTGTGATAAAAATTTGAGTGACCAGGAGTGGACCTGAATGAGTGGACTGTGTGTGATTGAGCCTGAATGTCAATGAGTCTGCATGTTGGCGTGTCTGGGCGTCAGCGAGTCTGAGCGTCAGTGGGTCCGAGCGCGCGTGAATCTGAGGATGAATCTGACTTTGCTTGGCACCTTGCCAGAAGAGACTGCCCCCTGGCAAACGGAACCAGGCCGCAGCAGCCTCCCACAGTACGCGACTGAGCACTCGAGAGTTTCCGAGCGTATCCAGGCCCAGCCACGCCACCCAGCTCAGACGTGGGCCCTCCACGCAGCTGGGCGAGCCAGGCGGGGCGCTTCCTCGCCGCCTCCTGCGCCAGCTCCGCTCGGGAGCGCGGCCCTCTCGGGGCCCAGATGCGTGCGAGGTGCCACCAGCGCACGACGAGGGCGGCCGCCGCTCGCCGCGTGCCCTCGCTCGGCGTGCTCTCCACGGCCGCGCCGCGCCCCCGCACCACCGGGAAGGCCCCTGCACAAGCTCGCCCCGGACGGCGGCCTCGGCCTCGACCGCATAGCCGCCACCGTCTGCGCGGACAGTGGGGGAGCTCGGGGAGGGCTCCTGCTCGCCCACCTGGCCAGCCGCCAGCCCACGCCCAGCCGCTCGGGGAGGGCGCCGCCCTCGGCCGCCAGCACCGCTGGGACCACCTCCGTCCCCTCCGCGTGGTCGTCCTCCGCGCCGCTCTGCTCCTCCCGCCCCGCGCCGGACAGGGCGTCGGGCGCCGCCGCGCAGGACCTGGGCAGCGGCCTTGCCCCACCAGCGCGCCCCTGTGACCAGCGGAGGCTGGGCCACGCCCGCCGCGCCAAGGCATCCTCTCCGCCCGGCGGCCGTGGGCGCCCACCGGCGCACCGCGGGCTGTGCGCACCGCCACGGCCCACTCTTCTGAGCCGCGCTCCGCTGGCGCCCGGCGGGCCTGGCAGCGGCTCGCGGCACCGCGGGAGCCCCTGCGCACGTGGGCCGCCACCGCGCCCACGCCAACCTCGGCTGCCCGCGGCATCAGCCCGCCGACCACGCCCGCCACGGCCCCAGACCTCAGCCCCAAACCTCGGCGGCCACTGCAGCGGCGGTCGCCACTGTTCCGCGGCCTTGCCTTGGCAAGGCGCCTCGCCGCCTGCCGGCCGCCCTCCGCCGCGCTGCACCACGCCGCCACCTCGGACCGCTGCCCCAGCTCGCCAGGGAAGGCATTGACCTCGGCGACGCCCTCCAGCAGCGCCCGTGAGAAGATCTGGCCCGTGAGCGAGCACCTCGTCGGCCTCGCCCCGTCGGCGGGCGATCGGCGAGGCCTTGCGCCGCAGCGCCTTCGTCGACACGCCCTGCGCCTGGCAGCGCGGCTCACGCCCTAAGGAGGAGAAGAAGAAGGAGAAGGAGAAGGAGAAGGAGAAGGAGAAGGAGAAGGAGAAGGAGAAGGAGGTTGAGGAGGAGAAGGAGGAGGAGGAGGAGGAGGAGGAGGAGGGGGAGGAGGAGGATGAGGAGAAAGGGGAGGAAGAGGAGGAGGAGGAGAAAGGGGAGGAGGAGGAGGAGGAGGAGAAAGGGGAGCAGGAGGAGGAGGAGCAGGAGGAGGAGGAGGAGGAGGAGGAAGAGGAGGAGGAGGAGGAGGAGGAGGAGAAAGGGGATTACCGCTACGCTGCTCTCCACGGCATCCCGCAGTCGGCCTGGCACTGGGCGCCAGGCGGCCGTCGAGCACGGCCCTTAAATGGCACAGACAAGTCATACATGCCATGAAAACCTTATATCAGGGCCACGCCCCCACGCCACGAGAACGGGAGGCTGGGCCAGACACAGGCCTAGGTGGTATTAAAGAGACGAACGACACTGTTAGCATCCGCATCAAGCCAGACGTCCGAGAGCTCGGGGTGCTTGCCAGCCGAAATTCTGTCCCAATAATATTTTGAACACCTAAAATTGTGTGGCCTACCTGGGCATGGTTTAGCCAGGTAGCGCACGTAATTGCCAGTGGAAAACGCTTTGCAACGGACACAAACACAGACAATGCCGCCGTCCGAACACGCTAAACCCAGACAATTATGCTCCAGCTGCTGGAGGACGTCATACTGGAGCTTATGCTTCTTTAAGCAACTCGAATTATTCCTCGGGAAAACCCCGCGGCACACCGCGAGGCAAAGATTACACTGCCAGAAGGTTCCCACCTTCTTCCAGAGATGAGGCACTATGATTGGCACTGGCTTCGGCTCGACGGGCGCACGAGTGGCCAAAGACAAGTCGAGCGGAGGCCAGAGAGGCAAAATACGGGCAGCCAGAACAAAAACCTTGCGAACGACCGACAAACATTTCTCAAGCCAATCTAGCTGCTCGGGGCTCGGTATCTCGTGAGCTAGGGCCCCTAGCTTAGCATAGTGGTCGGCAAGGTCATTCCCAATCTTACAGAACTTCAGATAGGCATCGTTACCCACCTGCTCGTCCGTCATGTGGCCTTTCACTTTGTGGATGGGCCCCATTTGACTGTCTGCGGTCCAAACAAACATGCCCGAGTGCACTCGCTTGTACGACAAGTGTTCACTACGGGGGAGGGCCCAAAGGGCCACAACATTCTGGCAATCGCTATAACCCACAGCTGGAGTGACCGCATTTTGGCAAGCAGCAGTGCAGGCAGCAAATTCACCAGCCTGAGCCGTTTGGGGAATGGGGTAAGGGAGGGGGGCATAGACATGACCCAGTTCCTGCCCAGAATCCGAAACCGAGACATAACTCCACCCCGTTCTCGATAATTCTCTAACGACCGAACGTATACAAGATCCATCCATGAAGATATTCCCCGAAACAGTATAATCGTCTCTCCCAGGATCATCAAAATGCTGAAATATAAGCTCGCACTTCGACGGGGGAGGGAAGAAGTCACCAGGGTGGGTAAACAAACCCAACGTGTACATTATCTTGTCAGCATCCGACAACGAGTCGTACTCCATCGGCCGAAACTGGAACCCATCTCCGAGGATGTCCTCTCGGGCCTGGGCGACCGACTCGTGCTGGCAGCACCACAACCTGTGGAAAATGGTGTCCCTTGCCACTTCGCACAGCGGGCGCAACGTGTCAGGCATGATGTAGCCGTGGTCCTCGGCTCGCGCCTTGGTCCAGGGCGCCTGGCAGACAAGACCTCTTATGCACCCTTTCTCGAAGGGAGTGAATTTTGAAGAACTCATGGCCGCAACGGCCACGTCGAAACACACGCGACGATCCAGGCCCAGGGACCGCCCATACTCACGTTCCAGATTCCCCAAAACAGCAGCACGGAGGAGACGTTTCAGGAGGCAAGGCGAAACCAGGGCAAGGGAGACTTCCACCCCCAGGTCGTCGACCAGCATGCTGAAACTAAGCATCTTTCACCCAATACGCTCCACCGAGAGCCGCAGGGCCCCCACAGGACCGCGCACACGACGCCACGGCTGAAGCGGCCCCGAGAAACCCGCAGCCCAGGCACCGCGGAGCTCGGCCAAGCTGAGGCCGAACTGGTAGGCCCCCACCAGGCAAGCCCAGACCTCCTTAGACCACCTCACAATGGGCGCGACGGACACGTACCAGGTGGGGTCGGCGGCAAACAGCAAAGCTGCCGTGAGAGATCTCCCTCCAGCGGAGGGTTGCAAGAAACGACCCATGGCTCTCCGCAGGGTGAAAAGCTCATGGTCCGAGGTGCCGTGCACCTCGCAACCGTAGGTTCGGCTGGCAAGGGGCCCTGTCGTGAAAACCCGACGCGGGTGACGACCGAGGGTTCTCTTATGTCGAGCCAAACGAGCAACCTTGGCCGAAAACAAGGTTTTACTAACTTTAAACCTTCCACCACGATGAGCGACACGACGGGGCCTGCCAGCAGCATCGTCGATGCCGAGGTTGACAGCGGAGTCACACGGCGCTCCGCCTACCGTGCCGAGACCTTGGCGCACGGCCTTAGCAACTGCAGAATGAGAGGCGAGCACTGCCGCCTTCTTGACAGCGATCGCGCAGCCAAGATCGCCCTCGATGACAACCTGCAATTTAATGGCCCCCTCCAGGAGGTCATTAACGACCGTCGAGGCGGTCCCTTGGCAAGACAGGGTGTAATCATCGGTATATATCTTCAACGAGACCGATCTTGGCAAGCTAAGCCCATCTAAGGCGGCTATGCTGAAGACACGGATTAAAGTGGTCGCGAAGCCGCAGCCTGCCACTAGCCCTCGCCATGCGAACTTGGGCCCGATGACCCTGCTGTTCATGGCGATGTAGCGGCAAGCGCGGTAAGCAACATCACAAACTCCTCGCAATCTGCATGGGGGAACCGTGCTGACGGCAACGCTGCAATAACAGATCCAAGTCGACCGACTCATAAAACTTGAGAAGGTCCCAGAGCGCCGAACTGGAACATAAATCGGACGAAACAGTTTTCTCACTTCGAACGCATTGCCGCCAGACAGTGTCCACGCTCGATGCAAAAGAGCCCGCGGCGAAGAAGTCCCTGCCGTTAGCCACTTCCCACCTGCGAGCATACTCACGACGAGCACGGGCCCAAAGACGATAAACTGACACGAATAATCCTATCGGTCTGTGCCCTCCGTCTGGCTTGGCAAGCATGATGAGCAACAGAACGCGCATCTGCATTGGCAAGTGCCCTGGCTTCTCGAACGTGGCGATGAGGCGGGAGAGGACGACAAGGGCCTGATCCGAGAGGTGCTGGAAGTGGCTAACATGGAAACCGTCGACCGAGGTGGCCGTGTGCTTCGGGAAAGACCTAGAGACACGGCGAAGGTCAGCTGGGGTCAACTCGGGCAGGGGTTCGAGCGCCTCGAACCTGGCACCAGTCGACGGGGAAACCTGCTGGTCTTCGGCATGCCACAGATCAGAAACTTAGCACATTCAGACTCAAGGAGGGCGGTGGTGGGGGTCCACGCTGGGGCCCCTCGAACAACCCCATGGGCGTGCCGAGCCCCAGACTCAATACTGGTCTTAAGCCAAGACACCCACTTACGGTTCTCAGCATTACGATGTTCACTCTCAGCCACAACTTGGGCCTGGGAGACCGCATCCAGGGCATACTCGGGTTCCCCATAGACGACGGGCTGACCAGGAGGGCTGTGGGTGACGACATCCCTGCAACGCTGAAGCAGCGCGGCCGCGTGGCCGCTCCACTCTCCCAGCCTGACAGGGGGATTGAAAAGCTCAGCAGCCGTGGCACAAAGATGGCTGCTGCGTGCCGAGCTGTGCTCGGCGCGCCCTGAGGCTGTTTTTTTTTTTCGATTAAACTGCTACGAGCAAAACGCGGGGAGGAGGGGGGCTCGGGCGCAGCCGTCGACGCTCCTAAGGCGTACAGCTGCAACCAAATCCGAAAGCGATTGCTGGGCCAGCGGAGCTGCGAGGCCAACTGCGACGTCGACGAAACACCTTCCATCGAGGCCGTGCCCGACTGCAACACGCAGACCCAGTGCAGCTCCGCTTGGCGACCACGACTACCGTGGTGCGAGAGACGGCGCTGAAATACCCCTTCGAGCTCCTTTTTCAGCCGTGTTGGCCCAATGTTTTTAGATGGTGTCCAGATGATACTGGGTCACATCAGTCTCCCCACTCTCAGCCAACACCAGGGCTCGCGAGGCCAGCCGATCCAAAACTCCCCACTCGGAAGGGGGCTCGGGGCACGGCCCCGCGGGCCTGATGGTGGGCAAGGGTGGGGGACGTGGAAAGGTCAAAGCCTTGAGAGACGCGAGGGAGGGGTGGAAGGTGAGGGAGACAGGGTCATGCGTCGCTAACTCCGAATCACTCACTACCTTCACGCCATTGATCGCCTGCGCAAGGCGGGAACAACAGAGGAAGAAATCGAACATCTTCACGCCCCCAGTGCTACGACAGGTGCCTACAGCTCCAGGGGGGTACACAATGTCAGCTCCCATCCTTCTGTGAATAGACGAGCCTGCCAGCGCGGCGGGCTCCACGTTGAAGTCAGCTCCGACAACGAACGGCACAGTAATGCTCTTTGCTCGCGCCGCCACTCCAGCAAGAATATCCTGATTGATCACTAAGTCCAACACAATCCTGCAGGTAGACACTAACAATGTAGAAAGAGGCCTGACCTGGGAGGTGGACGAGCGCTCCGAGGGCCCTGTGGGGCCGAATCGTGGGACCAAAATCGGGGTGGTGCAACCCAAGGAAGGACCTGACCAGGACCCCGACCCCAGCCGAGGGGCCTCCCCCAGGCCCCAGGGTTCCAAGTTCGAAGCTGGCTTTCCACCCGTTTCGCACACACCAGGCCGAAGCCTTCCTGATGTCCTCAGCGCTAGTGAGCTTGTGCTCCTGGGCGAGCACGATGTGGGCAGAGGTAATACCCAAAAACTGCTTGAGCGAGCTACAAGCGGTGCCGTTAGCCGTCACTATCTCCAGTTCAATAGACTCCTGAGCAGCAACAAAATCTCCTTGGTCCCAAGGTCGATGCATACACGAGTTTCGCGGGGCATCCAAAACTGGGCAGGAGGTAGGGAGTCTAGGGTAGGAGAAGGGTGATGGCACGGCACAGGTCTGGCTAGGAACGAGCCGCGCCCTTGGCTGGGGGGCCCGCTGGTGGCGGCGCCTTCCCGTCTGGGACAGCGGGGGGCGCCTTGGACGGTGCCCTGCTGATAGCCTCACGAGCCTGGGCACGGACAGAGGCGCCAGGCTTAGAAGGCGGGGCACCAGGGGCGACAGGCGGCGCTGGGGTGGCCTTGCTACCAGCAGAGGCCGACGCTCCCGATGCCTCAGAGGCGGCGGCGGCCGCAGCACCTCCTGCAGGTACACCCGCAGCAGCAGGTTCGGCATCCGTCTTCCGCTTCTTCTCGAGCCGCTTGGCCTGCTCCTGGTGGTTCTTCTTGAGCTCAACGCACTTCGACTGAACCTCCCCGAACAGGGCCGCCGTGAGACTCTTGATGCTCTCCGACAGCTGCTCCTTCCGAGACTGGGCTTCGCGCAGATCTTCAGGAGTGACGTCCTGAAACTCCGCCAAACCGAACATGTCGCCATCGTCCAGCACGAGCGAGGACACCTTGCCATCCAGGATGTCCTGCAGGCGCAACACTGGGGCGGCTGGGCCCTCCTGTGGCTGCGACGGGTGGAGCGTGACCGACAGGTGCAACTCTGAGATGGCCGACTTGTATTCCTCATCGTAGCGCTCCAGCTCCTGCAGCGTGGCCTCCAGGTCTGCGCGCTGCTGAGCCAGCTTCCGCTCGAGGCCGTGGACGTGGTCCAGGTCGCGATCCAGCTTCTTCTCGAGCCTCTGGATCTCCTTGAAAGCCGCATCTGCCCGTTGCTGCGGGGGCAGAGGGGCTTGTTCCAACTGGGCCACCTTCTCTTGCGCCAAGGAGAGCAGGGAGGCGTCCCCCACCTTGGCGCTGAGCTCCACCAGCTGCTGCAACTCCGTCTTGGTCGCAATCGGGACGGTGGCAGGCCGCACGGGTGGAGTCTTTCCCGACACTGCGTCTGCTGCAGCACGACGGACTTCAGCAGCAGCCGCTCCACGGGGAACTCCTCCTCCTCTGGCCTGCCCGTCTCCTGGAACGGGCTCAGTCCACTTCTTGCCGCAGTGCTTGCACCACAAGTAGTGACCCATGTTTTTGCGGCAGCCGCAATGCCCGCAAGTCCACTTCTTGGTTGTGTCGTAGCCGCTACGAGGCTTGCCACCAAAAGCCATCGCAGCGCCGCCGTGAGGGAAAGGGGGGTCCGAGCCACTCTGGCCCGCGAACACCCAGCCGTTCTGAAGATCGGTGATCGCATGCACAAAAATGGATTGTGCCAGAACGGCTAATGGAGGAGAAAGGGGAGGAGGAGGAGGAGGAGGAGGAGGAGGAGAAGGAGAAGGAGGAGGAGGCGGGGGAGGAGGAGGAGGAGGAGGAGGAGGAGGAGGAGGAGAGGAGGAGGAGGGAGGAGGAGGAGGAGGAGGAGGGGGGAGGAGGAGGAGGAGGGGGGAGGAGGAGAGGAGGGAGGAGGAGGAGGAGGAGGAGGAGGAGGAGGAGGAGGAGGAGCAGCAGCAGCAGCAGCAGCAGCAGCAGCAGCAGCAGCAGCAGCAGCAGTGAGGGGGCGGAGCGGGTCCAGAGCCCCGGGCCGAGGCCTCCTCGAGCCGCGCCGAGCCCGCGGGGCTGGGGCCGCGGCCGCGGGCGCTGTCCTCCGCTGCCGGGGGGGCGGGGGGGCGGCCGCGGGCCGCGTCGCGGCTCGGCCTTTCCGCAAGGCCCCCGCCTCGACGTGAACACGTTGCGACGGGCCCACTCCAGTGACTCCAAGTGGGCGGAAACTAGGGGGCCACATGCGAACCCGGCCCCTACCCCCCACGATTTCTGAGGGGGAGGGTGGGGAGTGAAGTGAACCCCACCCTCCCCCTCAGAAATCGTGGGGGGTAGGGGTAGTTCGCATGTGGCCCCCTAGAAACCTCGACGTGGTCGTAGAAAACCTTGCAGCCTCTCGCCGTGACAAAAGAGCGGCGGGGAGTTTTTGGCAAGGCTCACGGGGCCTCAACAGAAGCCCAAAGAGCGGCCCCGACAAAGCCAGCAGGCCCCCAGGAAGCGCCCCTCGGGCCGCCCGAAGCTCCAAGAGGCACCTCAAGAGGCTCCTAAGACGCCGCCCCCCACCTCCTCTCGTCGTGGAAGGATCACGACGGGAAGAGTTTGGCAGTTCCCCGCCCCTGAGGGCCCTTGCCAAGCCGCAGGACCGTCAAAGAACGGCTCGGGATGGGAAGCCGGTCCTGGAGCAAGGATCCAGAACTCCAGGGTCCACGTTGCCCAACAATAAGCACGACGCTGGAGTTCTGGGCACACGCAGCAGTGGCGCCGAGAAAGACGTGGCCTTCGGCGCGCGGCTTGCCGTTCGCGGAGTGCGATGCGGCACCGGCAGCCTGCGTGCTCGTGCCGATCGACTGACGCAGCTTGCCCTGGGCGGCGCGCAGAGGAGGGCAGGGAGGGGGGGGAGGCTTCTTAGAAGGAGGCTGCTTCTCAGAAGGCGTGGGCCTCACATTTACGGACAAGACCCGCGCCTTCACAGCAGCAGCCTCCCTGTAAGCAGACCTTCCCCCCTCACCCTATCCGTCGTTCATTTCTAATCGTGCTCATCTCTAATTGTGCTCGGTTCTGATTGTTCCTGGCCCCCTAGTGGCCAGGAAGAGGCCCAGGACAGAACAATTAGAAATGAAAGGATCTTGCCCCCCCGAAAATCCAAGAACTTTCGAAAATCTGTATATACTAACGAGCAACGTGTACCCCCCCTCTGCGCGTGGCCGATGCGATGGGCCAGCCGCGCGCGCCGCCTGCGAGACGGCACGCGACGCCTCACGCGGGCCGCCCGCGCGGCAGCTCGCGAGGAGAGGAGGGGCGCGCCCGTGCGCGGCCTCGCGCGGGCAGCCTGCGCGGACAGCTGTCGGCCCAGTCTGCGGGGACAGCAGGCGGCCACGACCACATTCAAAAACGCCCTCTGGGGAGGGTGTCTTGCGCATGCCAACGTTCGTCAGCACACCCGGACCAGCTCAGTACCGGCTGTGGTCGATGTGACGCCCTGGGGCGGCCAGATCGACGACAACCACAACCGAAGTGAGCACGTCGAGGTCGGCGGCTTCTCCCCCGAGGGGCCCCCCAGAATTACCAGCCTCGAACGTATCCGTATCCCTAAGATTGACACGCCAAAAGGCGATGACAATCTTAGGGATTCGCCCTCAAAAAATAAGGAAATCCCAAAGATTGGCATCGTGATGAGGAGGTGCCCAGCATAGGGATAGGGATATGTCCCAGGCTGGTATACCAGAAGAATCCACTTGGCTGTGGCTGTGGTTCTCCGCTGCGCCCGGACCGGTTGGCCCCGCTCTCTGGGCGTCGGCGCCGCTGCCCGCTGGAGGCGCTGGCGGTGCGGGTCACGAACAAGCCCCCTCCTTTTCTCGGCGGCGCGCCCAAAGGGGAGAAGGCACCTGGAGCGGGCCTTCTTAGAAGGCTCGGGAGGCCTCCGAAGCGTTCCGAGCCCTCTCCGAAGCCGCATGGGGGCTTCCCAGAGGGCCGGAGGGCGTCTGACAAGACCCCCCGCCTTCTGGGAAAGACTGCCTCCTGCCACTTCCCCGTCCCCAGACATCCGGCATCTCGACGTCTGTTCGAGACACCAGCTCCCGACCTCTCGAACCTCCCTGGGGCCGAGAGGAACTCTGACTGCCAATTCAAGCAAACTCCGTCTGAAGGGGGAGGAGGAGGAGGAGGAGGAGGAGGAGGAGGAGGAGGAGGAGGAGGAGGAGGAAGAGGAAGAGGAGGAGGAGGAAGAGGAGGAGGAGGAGGAGGAAAAGAGAAGGAGGAGGAAAAGAGGAGGTGGAGGAGGAAAAGGAAAAGGAGAAGGAGGAGGAGGAGGAGGAGGAACAGGCGGACCCTTGTCCAGAGGCGTTTCTTTATTTTCGGCGATGGGGGGCGTCATGGGGAGGGGGGGGGCGAAGGGGGGGGTATGACGCAACGCCCCCCCCCGCCGTGTGGCTCCGACATCACAGCCGCGCCCGCGCGCACGACGACGATGAGCGACGAACAACGAGCGACGACGACAACGACGACGACGCGAGCAGCATGTAGGTGACGATCTGCCGCACAGCGCTTGTGTACACCACAATGCTCGCGTGCACCACAACGCGCGTGTACACCAAAACGCCTGCGTACACCGCAACAGCCGTGTGCAACGCAACGCCTGCGCACACCACAGTGCTTGCGTGCACCACAGCGCTGGTGTACACCACAGCGAATGTGTACAGCGCAGCAGCCATGTGCAACACAGCGCCTGTGTACACCACAGTGTTTGCGTGCACTGTCTACACCGCAGCATCCGCGTGCAACGCAGCGCTCGTGTACACCACAATGTCTGCGTGCACAGGACAAGTAGAAGGAGCATGTCGATGAGGATCTGCTGCGAACAGCTACACGCCACGCCAGGGAAGTGCTGATAATACGTAGGAATGCGACGTTCTTCCCTCCTCCCTCATCCTCCTCGTCCTCCTCCTCATCCTCCACCTCCACCTCCTCCTCCTTCTCCTCCTCTTCCTCCTCCGCCTCCTCCTCCTCCTCCTCCTCTTCCCTCGCCCTTCTCAACTGTCGTGGGGGCCGGCGCTACAGCGCACGTGCGCATCCCAGCGTGCACCGCAAAAGGGTCTACTGAATCAGTCTCGTTTGTTCTTGGACGGCCAATTCTGCTGGAGCCTCCTGGACGCAGATGGGAGGAGTTAGGATGATGCGGGCGGACTCGGGAGGACTCGTAGATTCCAGCGGCGCTCCTTTTTCCATGAGAGTTGCTTATCAAATCCTAAATGAAACACTTGTTTTCTGTTGAATCCACAGGCGCTTCATTCTGTCATAAGGATTCTTTCTCACATTCTATATGCAACAGTGGTGCTCTGTTACGCACGGTTGCTGTGGTGCACACGGGAACCGTGGTGAACACGGGCGCTGTAGTGCACGCAGGCATTGTGGCGTACACTGTGTTGCGCATGGCTGATGTGGTGTACGCAGGCGCTGTGGTGCACACAAGCGCTGTGGTGCCCGCAGGCATTGTGGCACACACTGGCGCTGTGTTGCACGCGGCTGTTGTGGTGTACGTAGGCGCTGTGGGGGCACTGTGGTGTACACAGGCGCTGTGGCGCAGATCGCCACCTACATGCTGCTGCTACCCGCCCTCGGTCATTCCTGGGCATTCCCAGACGCCGCCAGCGCGAAACGTGACGTCACCAGCCACCTCCACTTCCACCCCCCCAAGATAATTGCCGTCATCGGCCCCGATTTTTTTTTTTCAAGGCTCCAGCCGCATGGCGACGACGAAGACAACGACTGCTGACCAGACTCCTATGCGACTTCCTATGCGGACACTTATGCGGAGCGCACTGGGGCGGGGAGCGTTACGTCATACGGGGGGGGAGGGGCGG